GCCGTCTGTCCTTCATTGACTCTGGGAGGAGGTGGTGGGGGGGGGGGGGGTCAGAGGTCACCTGCAGCAGACTGAAAGGTGATTGGTCCCAGGTGTTCAGAGGAGGCGGGGCTTCTACATGGAGGCCGTCTCAATCTGAACGTACAGCTGCCGAACTCCAGCCTGAACACAGAAATAATGTTTACACTACAAATACAAAATACAGGTAAACAAAGACTGATAATACTACTATACAGGCACAGTAATACCGTCAATATTACTGCAACACAGTTACACCTATGTAAGTAAATATTTATTGTACTATCAGATAATAGTAAAATACTAATTATACTACTACAACACAGGTAAATAATAACTAGAAATACTACTACTCCAGAGGCCTGTACTACGAAGCTGGATTTTCCTAACCTGGATATGTTTGAGTTAGCCGGTTGGCCCAATCCAAAACATACGCGCTCTCGCTAAACTGTCCTACGACGCTGGATATCAAGTGGATCGCTCAAGCCGCCGTGTCCTATCTAGTTAGGTGCGCGTTCACATGAAAGGGGTGGTATTTGGAGCATTCGACCAATCACAAACATGGACAAGCGTACTGACAGCGCAGCGTCATACTTCCTGAATGAAAAGTGAACTTTAATATTAGTCAAATATGAAGACGTTAAACTTTAAACATCCATGACTTAAACACTTTATCCAGGATCAAAGCCACATAGCTGCACCTGCAAGGTGAATACAGCTGGTAAAAGAAAAAGTAGAGTGTTTCGTCAATTTAATGTGTTGCTTAAAATAATACTTCTGCATCCAGTATGTGACACTGTGAGTGTTGCACGGCCAGATACGGCTCAGCTGACTCAGATAAGGAGATATATGATACATTATGATGTGATATGATATGAATGATAATGGGACACATCGACGTCTGCACTCACAGTGCCACGGACTGTACTTAATGTTACTCTGATCCGGTTACTTATGTCGTGGCAGATATTTAAGTAAGCTTTCTTAACGCTAATGTTATAATAGTCAGATTGCTCTGAAGATGGGAGGAGGGGATATTCTATTAATGTTCACGTTCACACAGTCAGTTGATTTTGGCCGGCCGTCTTTCCTGCAACGGCAGTTTTTCTGTATTTCCTCTATCCTGTAATATGACTTGATCGCTTTAAACTCCGCACACGGAGCTCTGATTGGTCAACAGGCGGTGCTTTCACTGAGTTGATCTCTTAGCCTGCAACCTAACCTGCTCCGGACCAGGCTAGCCGCTCAGCATAAGTTACCATGGAGATCTAGCCCGCTAAAAAGAGAACCAGCGTCGTAGGACCGGAAACCCAGAGTTTTCCCTGAAGTTAGTCGCTAAGAGAAAATCCTGCTTCGTAGTACAGGCCTCTGGTTAATCACAGATAAATAAATACCTATAAGGGAAGGCTGCAAACGTGTTCATGTACCTGTGAAGAGGTTATTTGACCGTGTGGTGTTTTCAGGTACCTGTGTGATGATGATTTGTGAAGATGTGTGGTGCGTTCAGGTACTTGTGTGATCATGATTTGTGAAGATGTGTGGTGCGTTCAGGTACTTGTGTGAAGATGTGTGGTGCGTTGAGGTACCTGTGTAAAGAAGTGGTGTGGTGCGTTCAGGTACATGATAGAAGATGTGTTGTGAAGATGTGTGGTGCGTTCAGGTACCTGTGTAAAGGTGTGGTGCGTTCAGGTACCTGTGTGAAGATGTGTGGTGCGTTCAGGTACCTGTGTGAAGATGTGGTGCATGTGGTGCGTTCAGGTACCTGTGTACAGATGTGATGCGTTCAGGTACCTGTGTAAAGGTGTGGTGCGTTCAGGTACCTGTGTGGTGCGTTCAGGTACCTGTGTGAAGATGTGGTGCGTTCAGGTACCTGTGTGAAGATGTGGTGCGTTCAGGTACCTGTGTGAAGATGTTGTGCGTCTGGCTGAGGATCCAGCGTGTGTCGGCATCAGGAGCGACCAGCAGTTTTAACGTCCCGATGTAAACGTCCGTACACAAAGTCCAGAAGTGAGGATCCTGCAGGTTGTAAACGCCCTGCAGCTGCTGCACCTGAACGCATCACGAGAAAAACCAGGAATTAGACACGTCCCTGACACAAAAGCAACTCTTCAAACTGTGAGTAAAACACGAATATAGGAGGAAAGACAACGAGTTAGAAATGTCTGTTTAAGGCGTCTAGTGGCTTGATGGGAAATGAGGAAGGAAGCCACGACATGTGGGAGAAACCAATAACAAAAGGTCTCAGAACGTCAGAGTTTGTTTCGTACGTAGAGGTGATTTAGAAGTGTTTTTACTGACCCTCTGGTAGCTCTCGGGCAGCTTCTGGTCCAGAGAGGGAGGCGTTCGCTGCATCAGGATCCCGATGGACTCCTTCAGTAACGGAATAACGCTGAGGAGACAGAGACACACTGAGCACGTGCAGACACTCACAGCTGGTTCAGTGTGAGCGGTTCTGTTCAATGCAGCTCGAGCTTGGTGTGGATTATTCACTTAAATGTAGCTCAGATTCTACAGATTACTAACTGGAGTTTGGTGTGAGTCGTTGTCTTTAATACAGATCAGATCATTGTGAACACATCTGTAGAATATGTTGATTTTGAACAAGAGTTCTGTGTGGATTAGTTTAGATTCAAGGGAAGAATCCGTTTGGATTATTCCCTTAAATGTAGCTCAGATCCAAGGGAAGTTCCTACATAGTTTTTACTGGAAATTGGTTTGACTTCTTCTCACTTTGTTCAGTTTATATGCAAATATCTGTGGATTTAGCTGGACTGGTGCGTTGGTGTTGGGATCAGGTTCAAACCCCACTGCAGTCAGCATGTCGTTGTGTCCCTGAGACACTTCACCCCAAAGTGCTCCTGTGGGGATTGTCCACAGTATTGAGTATGTAAGTCTCTTTGGATAAAAGCGTCTAACAAGTGTCATGTCATGTAATGTAGCTGGAGTTTGGTTTGGATTATTCCTTTAAATGTAGCTCAGATTCAAGGGAATAATCTGTACGTTTTTAACAAGAGTTTGCTGTGGATTAGCTCAGAATCTACAGGTTTTTGAACTATAGTTTGGTTTGATTTCTTCTCTCTTTGTTCAGTTTTATAGGCTGTTTTTATAGGCTCATATCTGTGGATTGAGCTGGAGTTTGGTGTGAGTCCTTCTCTTCAATGCAGATCAGATCATTGTGAACACATATGTGGAATCTGTACGTTTTTAACAAGAGTTCTGTGTGGATCAGATTCTACAGGTTTCTAAGTGTAGTTTGCTTTGAGTTCTTCTCTCTTTGTTCAGTGCACATAACTGTGGAGCTGGAGTTCAGCAGTTTCCAGCTGCAGAGTTTGATGCCTGTGGTCGAGTGAAGGCCTCTCAGCTGACCACAGATCTGCTGACTGCTTCAATCTGCAGCTGCGATCACTGCCAGCCTATCAGACCACATCTACTCCATCTATCCCCGGGGCTTCTGGGAAATCTGACCGCTGCACATCCACTGCCGGACTCCAGAAGTATTCCAGCTCCATGCCGGTGGTTTTAGTCCATTAACTCCTGATTGCACATTCCTTACGTCAGAGAAAAACTATTTTCCAAAGCATCCGTCGAGTCTCGGATTGATTTCATTCCTCTGTGGAGAGCAGAAACCTGAGAGATAATCCATCAGTCCTGGTACTTTAGGCTTCCTTCTGAGGCTCCTTCAGCGGTGCGTTCAAGGAACCACTGACATCCTAGAAACTGCAGCTTTTTTAAAGTCAGACGTCACCAAAGTCTGTTTGATTATTTCTTAAAAAGCACGTTAGAGGTTTGAGTGTTCATCCTCTGGAGGTTAGAATAACGTTAAAAAATGTTCTGCTGGTCACTAAAGAGGCTCTCTGGGTTATATGAATGTGAAGAGAGAAGGAGGAGGTTTTGTTAGACGTTCTATGGGTCCTTTTTGTGAGGAGGATCGAGTTTGAATTGGTATATTAAGGTGTTAATAAAAGGTGTGGACATTTAAGATGCTCTACAAGTCATTTACAAGCTTATAGGGTTCTTTATCATGTGCCAACATTACATATAGGTTAAATGGAGTTATATAAAGTAAGTTATAACGAGTTAAATAGAGTTCAAAGGTCCCGTGTCACGGCCATTTCTGCTGATCATATTTCCATTGTTGAGGTCTACTAGAATATATTGACATTGTTGAATGTTCCAAACTCACATTGGTTCCTCATACAGCATCTCTGTATAGTATGTGTATTCACTCTCTGTCCTACACGGCTTGTTGGAGCTCCTGCCCCCCCCCCCTCCCTATGAGCCCAGTGTGCTCTGATTGGTCAGCTCGCCCTTTCTGTTCTGATGAGTCCACCACCGTTACAGCGGAACATCAGTGATTATGCGTTACAATGGCGTTTGTTAGCAACCAGGAAATGACACCAGTAATGACAAACAGATGAGAATGCTGCGTGGGGTCTGGGTGCCGTGTTGGAGGGACGTTGAGGGGCTCGCTGCTCCGCCCTTTGAGGCTCGAGGAGCGGACAGTGTGAGCTGGATTACTGGTGTCGTTTCCTGGTTGCTGCGTGGAGACAGCGAGACACTCAGCCTGAGCACACACACACACACACACACACACACACACACACACACACACACACACACACACACACACACACACACACACACACACACACACACACACACACACACACACACACACACACACACACACACACACACACACACACACACACACACACACACACACACACACACACACACACACACACACACACACACACACACACACACACACACACACACACACACACACACACACACACACACACACACACACACACACACACACACACACACACACACACACACACACACACACACACACACACACACACACACACACACACCACACACACACACACACACACACACACACACACACACACACACACACACACACACACACACACACACACACACACACACACACACACACACACACACACACACACACACACACACACACACACACACACGTTGTCACGATACCAACATTTTGGTTTCGATACCAAGTCAAGAATTGCGATTCCGATTCTTTTTCGATACTTTTCTTTTATTATTTTCATGATCAATACAATTGTAGTTTATCTGTTAAGTGTTTTCTTCCAACATGGTCTCTTCTTTATACTTGAGTTTATGTGATTTCTCTGATAGTTAACTTTATATTTTATTAACATGTAATAGTACAGTAATATAAATAATGATTGACTAAATGTACATTGCAGATGTTAGCCACATTGGTAAGTTAGCTAAACAGATAGCCATATTAGACAGTTATCATTGCCTCGTCAAACTACCAAAACGTTTGTTTGTCACAAAATAAATGACACTTGTTTGACTTCGATTTGAGGGCATGGGCTTGAGCATGATGTAATTATGTTATCTATCACATTCGCTAACCTGTCTGTCTTTAAATTCTGTAAACAGCTCTGGATGCCGGTCGGCGAGGTGCTTAGCCAAGTTTGATGTGTTGGCTCGCTTGGTTTGCAGGGATCTAAAACATGTCTTACAGACGGGCCTCGTGGTGTCCGTAGGTTTGCCCTCACGGACACCACGAGGCCCGTCTGTGAGACAGGCCTCGTGGTGTCCGTAGGCTTGCCCTCACTGACACCACGAGGCCTGTCTCACAGACGGGCCTCGTGGTGTCCGTAGGCTTGCCCTCACGGACACCACGAGGCCTGTCTCACAGACGGGCCTCGTGGTGTCCGTAGGCTTGCCCTCACTGTCAGAGATATAGCTACAATACTTCCACATTTCGCTTCTGGCTTCTTTTTTGTCAACAAGCCGAGGCGCAGCGGCAGTTGCACTCCCACTTGCAGCCATGCTTCTCGTTTTCTCACATGCTCTGGCAGCTAGCGCGTGCACGAGAGAGGGGAGGCACTTAGAGCGTGCTTGAGAGGGGAGGGACTGCAGGGAGTGGAAGCAGAGCGCTGGACACACACGGCTCTTATTAAAACAGCGCTTTCTCACCAGAGTACTTTTCCCCGTCATTCTTAAAGTACCGATACTAATGAAACGGAGGAATCGTAATGTTTTTAACGGCAGGGTATCGCGGTACCTTTCAAGTATCGGTACACCGTGCAACACTAACACACACACACTCACAGCCAGGCTGTTCACCACACAGCTCGCCACACACTCACAGCCTGAGATAAGGCTGAGTGAGTGTTTCTCTGCGATCCCAACTCGTCTATTACCAACGTTCAGGGAGCTCTATGCAAGTCAATGGGACTCCCTGATCGTTGAAAATCGACGCTAAAGGTCCCCCCACTGCGTTTGATAGTGACGCCAAGGGATCCTGGTGTGTTCCACGGATTGGTCCATGTGGTCGTCGTTACGTCACTTAGAAGAAGAAAGACCTCCAACGAGGCGTTCTGGGGCAGCATAGAGAGGTCTTCTCTGTGTTAGAGTGTTACTCGCTAGAGGGTGCACTTTGAGGGTTTGAGACTCTGCAGACCGTAACACACAAGGGGACGGGTAATAACCAGAAAAGCATGACATGGGACCTTTAATATGGTTTGTTATAAAGTTAATATATATATGACTTTCTCCTGAGATTTCACAATTATAAAATGTTCTACAAAAATCTGACTTTCTTCTCAAAATGCAGAATACTTTAATAATGTTGACTTTTTCCTGTAATATTTAGCTACATACACGACTCCCATCGACATGACTACACCGTAGCTATGTACGAATGACAATAAAAGCCTTGACTCTTGAATTGAATACGCAATTTGTTTTACCTTGGGTCACGTGAATGTAGCTTTAGTTAAATAATGCGTTCTATAGAGTGGGTTATAACCAGTGTTTCACGGCTGACTCAGAGGAGCAGGGCGCACATTTAGGAGTGCATTGTGTTGAGTTCAGGAGTGTCTCTAGAAAGATATAGCATGAGTTCTGTGTCTCTGATGTTGTTTATAAGATATATCAATTCTCTTGAGAACATGACGCCCGTAAACAAGATGTCTCCTGACGTAAACAACAACGTGACGTAAACAACAACGTGACGTAAACAACAACGTGACGTAAACAACGTGACGTAAACAACGTGACGTCGGAGCTCCGTAAAAACAAAGCCGTCTCTGCCGTCTGACGCTCCGTTTGATTCTCAGATTTCTGGAGGAATTATACCGTTTCTGACGAACAGAAATATTGTTTTCTGATCACTTTCACATTTGACTGGGAACATCTGCATTTTGGAGCAGATTTAAAGAGCTGAATGTTTGTATTAAGACTTAAATGTTAGTTATATAGAGTTATTACCTGACTCCGATGAGCAGGGAGATGAGCATGGAGCAGATCGGGTCAGCGATCATCAGGTCGTATCTCTGCATCAGGAGAGCTGAGATGATCACTCCAACACTGCCCAGAGTGTCAGCGATGATGTGTAGCAGCACGCCTGGAACACACACACACACGTAATAACACACACTTCAGAATGTGCGTCCAAAATGTCCCCTGCTGTTTGTGTCGTGACCTGAAGACACTTTGATCAGGACAGAAAGACACCTTGTTTTTAAAACTTCATCCATCTATTTTACTCAGAAACAGTATTAGTGCTAATGGAGCTTATTAGAAAGTGAATGTTGCTGCATTAGCTTCAAACCGGAAAATAAGAAAGAGAACCATTTTAAAAGTGAAATTAAACTGTTCTGAATGTTAGTTTTTAGTTCAGTTACTTTTGAAAAGATAATTTAAAAAAGCTAGTATCGGAAGAATCAGTTTATTTAGTAAAAACAACCACATGGAGACATCTCAGTGTTTCTGGGGGCTAAACAACGTGATGGTGTGACGGCGCCCTCTGGTGGTCAAGGCAGTGTACATGAGTTAGAGTATGTTTTAAATGTTACCCTAATTATATCTATTTAATAATTTAAATAAGTTTCTGAATGAAAATATCAATCGACATTTTTTTGACGTTACAAAGCAGTTTTTATTTCTCATCAGGGATCGTCTTTGTGTTGGATTCTTTCATCACTGTTAAAATACAAATTGAATTAAATCTTTAGTATGAGCTTCTGCTCTCCATGTTTCAGACGTGTTGTGTGAGGCACGTTGAATCACTCTATGAATACAAGTGTTGTGTCTTCATTCTCACCCTGAAGGATCTGTTTACTGGCTCCTTTCCCCGGAGTCAGCTGGTCTGCAGGACAAACACACATTTAGTTAAAATAATACAAACAGCAGAACTCACACTAAAGGATAACTTCACCCTTAAGACCATCCTCCGTTACTCCCTCGTGTTGTCATGAATTATTGCTCTTCCTCCACGGTGAACGAAGAATACAAAAACATAGAAAAGTCTTGATGCAAAATGTTCCTTTTACGTATAGAGTGGCGAAGTCACGCCCATCTACTTCCGGGTAATGGGACCTTATTTCGGAAAAATTATGCATTGAAGTCAATGGAGAGAGAAAGATTATCTTTCGATCCCGTTTGAATTGTGCCATGAATTACACATATGATGTTTGTCAATCTTAAAAAATCATTTCCATGTCAAAAAAGTCACAGTTTGTCGTAAAACTGTTGAAATATAAGACTATGAAAAATACGTAACTAGAAAGACTACAAATCCCAGAGTCGCGTAAGTGATGTCACAATTGTTTTCCTCCACCATTCAGATACCTAAGATCAGCGCCATATAGATATAATCTATCTATATGGCGCTGGCTAAGATAAGATAACTTTAACAAGATGCCTGTGTGCTTAGTACCAGGTTGTTATCATACCAGCAATGGGTCTTGCTCGTTCTTTTGCTTCCCGTCTGATGAAAGGACCAGGAGTGTCTGGATCAAGCTAGCTAGTAGCTAGCACGTTAGTTAGCATTACAGCCTTGTCATTTGTATTAGCCTTAACATGAAGTAACATTAAGTAACCCAAAATGTTAAACAGTAAGAGTAGTAGTCATATTTCGTGAACCCTTTGAATAGTACTGTCACCGGTGTGATCATCCTATAATACACCATTTAATTCCGGGGGAGAAATGCTAACGCTAATGCTAGCGATCTTCTCTACTTCATGCTATCTGCACAAATGGTTGACATTAAACATTAAAACGACCAGGCAGTTCAGAGAGAATCAAAGGAAGGTAGGCAGGCAGCTTTGCATGACATTCTTCAGGACGTGTTTCATTGTGGTGATAGTGAGGGTAGTCAATCGTTTTGTTGACAAGACAGTAGTGACGGCCATCTTGGTGACGTGTGTTGTTCTGTGAGACCAGAGATGTAGTTCATTGAGCGTTTCACACAAACAAATGTGTTACTTCACAGTTTTACGACACATTTTTTTTTTTTTGACTTGCAAAATTATCTTTTAAATTGACAAACATCATATGTGTAATTCGTGGCACAATTCAAACGGGATCGAAAGATAATCTTTCTCTCTCCATTGACTTCAATGCATAACTTTTCCGAAATAAGGTCCCATGGGGCTCAACCGGAAGGGGAGGGACTTCGCCACTCTATTAGTATGTAGAGTCTGCTCTGATTGGTTAGCTGGCCGGCTCTGTTGTGATTGGTCAACCACTTAGAGATGTCCCGCCCCTTAGCCTATCACGTACAATGTGTTGGAGCGCTAGCCAATAGGAGCGCAAGGATTTAAAAATAACCATATGTGTAAAAGATGAAAAACTCTTTTTTACACTTGTTTTTGTGATGAGTTTCTTTACAAATGCAACCATCAGGCAACTGATGTGCAGGTGATCACTTTAAAGGTGAAGGTAAATAGATGTATAGATGTTTGGGAGCAGCCTCTCACCGTGACAGTGTGCATCGTCATGGCTGTCGTGGCTGTGTCCGTGTCCTCCGTGGCTGTGTCCGTGTCCATCGTTTCCTCCGTGGCTGTGTCCGTGTCCATCGTTTCCTCCGTGGTCCTTTCCTCCGTGGTCCTTTCCTCCGTGGTCCTTTCCTCCGTGGCTGTGTCCTTGATTTGCACTGCCGTTAAACAGAGAGTGGCTGTGGCCGTGATCTGAGAGACAGACAGGTGAGAGACACACAGGTGAGAGACAGACAGGTGAGAGACAGACAGGTGAGAGACAGACAGGTGAGAGACAGACAGGTGAGAGTAGGCTCTTGAGTTGTTTGATGGTGTAACGCTACATTAGCATTGCAGATGAAGATGAGGTTATTGAAATAGAACTGGATTTTTCATTGAAGATTTTTAGGCGTTTCCATTTAAAATAAGGAACATTTTGATATTTTTTCTTTTTTTGCCCTCTTTATTAAAAAAGTTTTTTGATTATTTTTTTAAAGTTTGTACCCCTTTTTGACATTTTAAGATATTTTCAACAATTTGTGAAAAAACTCAGGAAAGACATTTCTGAAAAAGTCAGAATTTTCAGATCTTAGAAAAAAGTCAGAATTTTCAGATCTTAGAAAAAAGTCAGAGTTCGAAAATGTTGAGAAAAGTCAGAATTATTTTTCTTAAAAAAGTCAGAATTATTTTTTGATTCAGAATTTGTAATTGGGAGACTTTCAGGATAGAGTCAAACATTTTTGAAAAAAATCTGAATTTGAGAAAATAAAGTCTAAATTCCAGGAAAAAGTCAGACATTTTGAGAAATAGGTCAGAATTCTGACAAAAGTTAGAAAGTTAGAATTTTAAGATTCTTCATTCTTCTTTATTGAGAAATGTCCAAATTCGGAGATTTTCACACAAAAAAACAGAATTTTGAGATTTAAAACAAAAATATTCAGAATTCAGATTTTTCTCAAAATTCTGACTTTTTTTGTTTGAAATCTCAAAAAAGTCCAAAAACGGATTTGTTTGTTTTTACATCAACATTTCTTTATGTTTATCTTCACTTTCTTCAACAGGTGGATGTAAAGTGTTGCAGGTGTTTACCTTCCCCTCCGTGAGAGTGCCCGTGGCCTCCGTGCTGGAACACAAAGATCCCCACCAGGTTCACCAGCAGACCAGCAATAGAGACAGGAAGCAGGCGGTCGTGGTTAACATTAGGAGGCTCCAGTGCCCTCTGAGAGACAGACAGGTGCAGGGAGACAGGTTAATATACACACAGACAGGTTAATATACAGAGACAGACAGGGTTAAGATTTGTTGCTTTCTTTGTACTGTTTCTGATTTTATGTAAAGCGTCTTTGAGCACGAGGAAAAGCGCTATAAAAATCGAATTATTTTTATTATAATACAGACAGACAGACCGACCGGTACAGAGTCAGACAGACAGGGTTAATAGACAGACAGACAGACAGAGAGAGACAGGTACCTCGACCCCTTCGGAGAAGATGAAGAAGGCGGTGAAGATCAGAAAGAGTCCGTTCACGAAGCCGGCCAGAACCTCAGCTCTGACGTACCTGAAACACAGACAGACCTGAGTAACAGAGCACAGATCCTCCGTATAGACTGAGCATAGACATAAAAGGTCTTTAGTTGATAGAACATTTGGCCAAACTTCTCATTGGGAGTTAGGCACTCAAAACAGCCCTAAAGTATGTGTATAGAGACACATACTAACAAAGCCCAGAGATGATCAGACCTGACTGACGGAGCACAGACTATCAGACCACACTAACAGAGCACAGCGTCTTACCCATAGGAGAAGCTGTCGTTGGATCTCCACCTGGAGATGACTGAAGCTGCCAGACCTGCGAGGAGAGCCGTGCAGTCGAAGAACATGTGGAAGGAGTCGGAGATCAGACCTAAACTGGAGAGGAAACACGAGATACATATATTAAAGCTCCCCTATCATCCTCTTCTTCATCAATACATGACAGGTCTCAGATATATACAGAGCCTGTCTCTGATTGGCTGAAACACCAAACAGATCATTGCAGCATTACCCATAATCCCCTCTGTTTCAGCCCTGTTTCCAAAGTGCTGATTCTCTGTCTGTTACTTTAGATGAAAATAAGGAGCCCCTCCCCACGCCCCTCTGAGAGAGATTTGGTTACAAAGAACTCAATAGCCGCGTTCACACCGGAGTACTTTTCCCCGTACTTTTCACGTTTAGTTCCGTTAGTACCCCTTATGTCGCGTTCACACCAAAAAGAGAACTTCATCTCTGGAACTTTTACCCCCATGTTTAGTGCCTGCTGAGAGATGGTACTTTCCTGGGGGAAAAGTGCCCCAGTTCTGATTGGCTGGGCGAATTGCAAACCACGCCCCGTACAACTCTGAAATGTTTTGTAGAGCCGCCATTTTATTATCCTGGCATTAGCGTTATTAGCATTAGCATTAGCCCAGCGCACCAACGCAGAGAGACTAACTTATGGCAACACAAAAGAAAACATGGGAGCGGTGGAGATGAGGAGGTGTCGGCGTTCTGGCGATTTACTCTGAAGGCTTCAGTAGAAGCTGCTGGGAGTCCCAGCAGCTTCTACTGAAGCCTTCCCCAACTCCGGGGACTTCCGGCCGGGGACTCCGGGTGGCAGTATACGCCGTGAAGTGGTTTGCTGCCTGCCAGTAAACCCAAAGCAGAAGAAGAAGAAGTGACGTCAGCGGCTCATTTGCCTAATCCTCCCTCAGGGAAAAGTACTCCGGTGTGAACACGATCTGTACTAAATGCCCTGGGGTAATACGTGCCGGGGCACTGAGTGCTGGCACTAAGTACGGCAAAGTACTTGGTGTGAACGCGGCTAATGGTGCTCTAGGAGGAGATTCAGGTGATAAGGTGGGGGGGGGGGTTACCTTGGTTGCTGATTGGCTAATGGTTGCACAAGACAAAACATCGTTATGACATCATAAAGTGGCCAAAATCTGATCAGCTCATTTTCAGACAGGTTTTTATAGAAATGGATCAAAAAGAGAGAGAATCGTTGAGACTGAAACTTTCAGAGTCTCTTTCCACAGAGGGGACACATGTTGATGAAGAAGAGGGGACACATGTTGATGTAGAAGAGACATGAAGAAGAGGGGACACATGTTGATGTAGAAGAGACATGAAGAAGAGGGGACATATGTTGATGAAGAAGAGACATGAAGAAGAGGGGACACATGTTGATGTAGAAGAGACGTGAAGAAGAGGGGACACATGTTGATGTAGAAGAGACATGAAGAAGAGGGGACACATGTTGATGTAGAAGAGACATGAAGAAGAGGGGACATATGTTGATGAAGAAGAGACATGAAGAAGAGGGGACACATGTTGATGAAGAAGAGACATGAAGAAGAGGGGACACATGTTGATGAAGAAGAGACATGAAGAAGAGGGGACACATGTTGATGAAGAAGAGACATGAAGAAGAGGGGACACATGTTGATGAAGAAGAGACATGAAGAAGAGGGGACACATGTTGATGAAGAAGAGACATGAAGAAGAGGGGACACATGTTGATGTAGAAGAGACATGAAGAAGAGGGGACACATGTTGATGTAGAAGAGACATGAAGAAGAGGGGACACATGTTGATGAAGAAGAGACATGAAGAAGAGGGGACACATGTTGATGAAGAAGAGGGGACACATGTTGATGAAGAAGAGACATGAAGAAGAGGGGACACATGTTGATGAAGAAGAGACATGAAGAAGAGGGGACACATGTTGATGAAGAAGAGACATGAAAAAGAGGGGACACATGTTGATGAAGAAGAGACATGAAGAAGAAGAGGGGACACATGGTGATGAAGAAGAGACATGAAGAAGAGGGGACACATGGTGATGAAGAAGAGACATGAAGAAGAGGGGACACATGTTGATGTAGAAGAGACATGAAGAAGAGGGGACACATGTTGATGAAGAAGAGACATGAAGAAGAGGGGACACATGTTGATGAAGAAGAGACATGAAGAAGAGGGGACACATGTTGATGTAGAAGAGACATGAAGAAGAGGGGACACATGTTGATGTAGAAGAGACATGAAGAAGAGGGGACACATGTTGATGAAGAAGAGACATGAAGAAGAGGGGACACATGTTGATGTAGAAGAGACATGAAGAAGAGGGGACACATGTTGATGTAGAAGAGACATGAAGAAGAGGGGACACATGTTGATGAAGAAGAGACATGAAGAAGAGGGGACACATGTTGATGTAGAAGAGACATGAAGAAGAGGGGACACATGTTGATGAAGAAGAGACATGAGGAAGAGGATTTAGCATCATCGGTGACCCTTAAAAACAGAAATCAGAAACACATCAGATAAGATGTACTTTATTAATCCCAATTTGGGAAAATGTGTTGTTGCAGCAGCGTAAAACATTGCACAAAATAACAAATTAAAAGACCAGAAATAAACAATTCTAAAATATAAACATCTAAAAAAAGAAATAGAAATAATCCAGCATTCCAGAGTGAGAGAAATATACAGATGACCGTGAAGCTAAAAAAATCTATAAACTGTCTGACAAATAAAAACACTATTCAGGGCCAATGTCTGTGAACACGATATCTGCACTATCCCTTTCTATTCCATTATCTAAACTCAGGTATCAATACACACATCATTACTGATAAAAACTGATTTATCTGCAGATTATTTCCATCTCCAAATGGTCTCTCAAAGTCCAAAGTGATGTCTTGTGTCTTGTTTTCACAGTCCACATCTCAAACATATTAGATTGCATCCAGCTGATCGTTTTTATCCAAAGCAACTCACAAAAAGTGCAATAAAGACACAAACTCAGAATAACAACAAACAATACTGATTAGTTTTTATATAGTTGGAGATTATTACAGTGTCACTCACACACACACACAATGGTATATATCTCACACACACACACACACTGTCTATTACAAGTACTGTAGATTATTTTTTAAATAGTTTGAGATTAGTTTCAATAGTTGCAGCTCTGACAGGAAGTGTGGAGGCTGAGCTATTACTTTTATTTATACATATATACACACACACACACACACACACACCACCGTCACATGGTATAACTCACACACAACAGTAACACCATGGTCACTCACACACACCCAATGATAACACCACAGACACAATGGTATATCTCATACACGCACACACAGTCACACACACACACACACACACACACACACACACACACACACACACACACACAGTCACTAGCACTACGTGGCACATCCCCGATGAACAAACAGACAGATGTTAGCACCGTTAGCTCACCTGTTGCTCCAGATGCCGTATGAAAGCTCCACGAATGCGAAGGACAGGTTGAGGCAGAGAAAGAAGAACAGATTCCGGGACGTTTTGTCCGCGAGTATCGACCTGAAAACAGTAAAACTATCAGAGAGCAACTCCAACCGGAGAGAAACCCGGTAATAAGCCCGGAATAAACCCAAAATAAACCCGGGGTATGTTCACACCCAACCGAATACAAACATACCGCTGACAATGTCAATAAAACACAGTTTAATACAGATTTATGCTAAGGCTAGCCGGTTAGCATCATGCTAAGAGCTATTCTGTACAGTTGAATCGCCGCTAGCTTCTGTTAGCATCCGTTAGCCGTTAGCAGTTGTCGGTTTACCTGAACCATCCCGACAGCTTCACCAGCAGGTTGAATTTAGCGGGTTTGTACTCATCGTCTTTCACAGATAAAGGTAACATGTTCACACCTGGACACACACACACACCTGAACACACACACACAGACACACACACTGTAGATTTAGCTACGGGATGCTAACTGACAACTTCCGCTCCGCTCGGATTTCACAATAAAAGCGCCACATTTACTCAAGAGCTGAGTGATATTTCTCAATGAAATGACTTCACCTCCTCCTCCTACTCAGTGGCGGTTCTAGACCAATTTGAGTGGGGGGGCCAGGCTGGGGCCAGTTATTTTCTGAGGGGGGCACAATAAATGCAGGACGAAAAAGACAAAGACATTATGAAGTAATTGCGCATAAGAAAACTATGCAATACAGTTATTGGTATTTGTTTCAGTACACATATTTATTTCAGATACTTATAGTTACAGTTTTTACGCTCTAATGGGTCCGACTAGAATGACAAATAGCGTTAGTTCCGCCTATTCCGTCATAATTTAATCATAAACTTTTTCATTTTTTTCATTTTTAGGGGGGCCACAGGGGGATCCAAAGTCAGTGTTAGAGGCCCCCCCCTAGAACCGCCCCTGCTAAACAAGGCCCGGCCCCCCCACTGACACTTACCTCAGCCACAACATAGTCCCTATATGCATTACATTAATGCACACGATGTTCATACTGCTTACTGCACATATTCATATTTCATATTTCATATTTTATATTCTATAATTCATTCATAGCATTCTATTTCGCTGTAAATTACTGCTTTATTTTATTGCTATTTAACTATATTTTATTACGGTGTCCTTAAAGATTTCTTGTTTCATATTTTATGTCTGCACCACGACATCAAGTCAAATTCCTCGTATGTGTGAACCTACCTGGTGATAAACCTGATTCTGATTCTGAACTTTTAACTTTATTTTAATAAAAATCTTCACTCAGATGTTTTTCTCTCAGGATTTGTATACTCTCACAACTAAAGTTTGGTTTATTCAGTATCAGAACAACAACACATTTAAAAAAGAAAACATTTAATTTATTTGATTATTCTGATTTACAGTGTTCAAAAACGGGTTGTTTTTCAAAATAAAAGTCCTAAATGCAGTGTTGTTTTAGAGCAGCAGAGGGCGCCTCAATCCACTGTGTGTGTGTGTGTGTGTGTGTGTGTGTGTGTGTGTGTGTGTGTGTGTGTGTGTGTGTGTGTGTGTGTGTGTGTCTTCTCTTGTTGACTCTCAGGTTAAAGTCTGGGCTACTGTCTGATCAGATCAGATCAACTGAAACTCACTTTAGTCTTTATCTTTCGTTTGGATTGAATCAGAGTCCTGCTTCAACACTAAAACACAACTTTAAAATAATAAATAATTCATACCAATGTTACACGTGACATAAAGAAGCATTTACATTACAATAAACGTCAAAATATAATAAAACAATAACAACGTATCCAAAAGTCACAAAGAAAGAGAGGTGGTCTCTGCAAAATAAGTATTTTAGTTTAAATAAATTATTACATGCTACATAAATTGATTATTTGATTGATTGGTTAATTGCTTTATCGAGTAATTTCTAAATTATATTTTTTATTTCCTGTCTGACAAAAAATGTAATTCCCTCCTGCCCTTCATTCTGTATAAATTAAACTCAATGTGTAAATTAATGTAAAAACTGTTATGAAATCACTGTGTGTGTGTGTGTGTGTGTGTGTGTGACGAGAGGATTTTCTCATCAGTTTCCATGGAGACCACAAACCTCAGCAACCTCCTCAGAAGACGCCAACAGGTACTTACAGTTATGAGGCTTTCTAACTCTGAGACAGAGACAGTTGTTCAGCTTTATGATCCTGAACGTCCCAGCTGTGTGCGTCACTCTTTAGTGTCCCCTGGTCTCCCAGCTGTGTGCGTCACTCTTTAGTGTCCCCTGGTCTCCCAGCTGTGTGCGTCACTCTTTAGTGTCCCCTGGTCTCCCAGCTGTGTGCGTCACTCTTTAGTGTCCCCTGGTCAAGTTGCTGAATGTTCTCTAAATACTGCATGTGTTGTTGATGGAGCGTTTGTTGGCCCCCGTAATAAATACTTCTACACAGAGCGTTAAATATAAAAGAAAATAGGTGTCAAAGTTGAGGTTTACTTCCCTGTTAAAATCAGGTTCCCATAAAACCCGACACATGAGGGTGAGTATCTTGTTTTTTGTCACCCACCCCCTCGCCCCGCACCGCCTGTATCTGATGTTTTGATGGTTTCCAGATGTAAAAACTCAATACTTCCACACATTAACGACGGTCAGAGATATTGAAGTGAAAGTTGAATAAAGATGATCTGATGTCTGAACAGGAGCTGCTGACGAAGAAAAAACAAAGCGACAGGAAATGCCAGCAGATTAAAATGAGGGGACGCAGCAGAACGCTCCGTCCTCTTGCACTCAGCTGAGGTCAGGAGTCACGGAGGCCCGGCAGGACACTGAACGCATCACGAAAGTAAAAACAGCAGAAACATATTATTCACCAGAGAGGGATCTGACCTCCGACCTCCTGCTGCTCAGACACTCAATCCTGATGCACAAAACAATAATAATAATAAATCTTACAAGCTTTCAATCACATGTATTATTATGCACCTCCATAAAGCTACAACATTTATTTTGAAATGACAAGGTGGTACAAAGAGTACAGATGGTACTGTGTTCTTTAATTATTTAAGAAACAAGCACTAATGAGACACACACTAATGAGTATACAAGAACATTTAAAACACACACTAAAGATAATAATATTTGTATATAAGAATCTGAAATCCGCCCTATCTAATTTTCAGGTTCATGTCTCCATGCTTTAATGTCTCAAACTGCCTGTTGGTTAGCTGGGCGGCTCTGTTGTGATTGGTCAACCAGCTTATAGATGTCCCGCCCCTTAGCCTATCATCTACAATGTGTTGGAGCGCAAGTGTTCCATAGTGGTGTCACTATGTTCCTGGAGTAAACAAAGGAGTCAAATGGAGGCGTCTCTACATGAAAACATCATATTTAAAATAATGTAGTGAAGTGAAACTGCATTATTTCCCTTTGAATTGTATTGGAGTAGAAGTAGAAAGTGGCACAGAAAGAAAGTGTGTGTGTGTGTGTGTGTGTGTGTGTGTGTGTGTGTGTGGTATACAGACCCCACAAGTTTTTTATTCTGAAAAACAAACCTGAGAGAAACTCGTTCACACATTTCCTGTTTCCATAACGACGGGCTGAGCAGCCCAAGAGCTCCGTGTTGAATAAAAAACAAATACAAAGAGGAAGAAGAAGTTTAATTAATTCGTTCGGCTAGTTAAATAAAACAGAGACAGAGAGCCAGGAATTAGACAGGTCCCTCTGCCAGGGCCTCATGTTGCTGCTCCAGCCTCAGAGGGAGTTCACTTTGAGACGAGGAACAGAAATATAAGACATTATTTTTTTTAAATATGTAAATCTTGGGGGGCAAACCTGAAACTTAATTAAGGGCAAAAACATCTATTTTTTCATAAAGTACGTTTTTGCCTGAAAATAAATATTTGAATTGGAATGGGAGGGATGAAACCCTCTTTAATGGTCTCACATGCAGAGCACACAGCACCCAGTGACATGTGTTCTCTGCTTTTAACCCATCCTAGTACCAGGAGTCTAGTACCAGGAGTCTAGTACCAGGAGTCTAGCACCAGGAGTCTAGCACCAGGAGTCTAGCACCAGGAGACTAGCACCAGGAGACTAGAACCAGGAGTCTAGCACCAGGAGTCTAGTACCAGGAGTCTAGCACCAGGAGTCTAGTACCAGGAGACTAGAACCAGGAGTCTAGCACCAGGAGACTAGGAGTCTAGCACCAGGAGTCTAGCACCAGGAGTCTAGCACCAGGAGACTAGGAGTCTAGCACCAGGAGTCTAGCACCAGGAGTCTAGAACCAGGAGTCTATCACCAGGAGTCTAGCACCAGGAATCTAGCACCAGGAGTCTATCACCAGGAGTCTAGCACCAGGAATCTAGCACCAGGAGTCTAGCACCAGGAGTCTATCACCAGGAGTCTAGCACCAGGAATCTAGCACCAGGAGTCTGGTACCAGGAGTCTAGCACCAGGAGTCTAGCACCAGGAGTCTAGCACCAGGAGTCTAGCACCAGGAGTCTATCACCAGGAGTCTAGCACCAGGAATCTAGCACCAGGAGTCTAGCACCAGGAGTCTGGTACCAGGAGTCTAGCACCAGGAGTCTAGCACCAGGAGTCTAGTACCAGGAGTCTAGTACCAGGAGTCTAGCACCAGGAGTCTAGCACCAGGAGTCTAGCACCAGGAATCTAGCACCAGGAGTCTAGCACCAGGAGTCTAGCACCAGGAGTCTAGCACCAGGAGACTAGCACCAGGAGTCTAGCACTAGGAGGAGTGGGCAGCTATTGTACAGCGCCCGGGGAGCAATGGGAGTGAGGGGGGAAGGGGGTTGTCCGGTGCCTTGCTCTCAAGGGCACCACGGCAGGGCAGGAGGTGAACTGGGACCTCTCCAAGTAGCAGTCCACACTCCATATTTAGGTCTGTTCGGGGACTTGAACCGGCGACCCTACGGCTCACAGTCCAAGCCCCTACTGACTGAGCCACTGCCAGAAAACGTATCCCAGCTGTGACCTACATTACAAGTTATTTACATTTTTGCCGCTTATTTAAACGCTATAGACTTTGAAGACTCCGTTGACCCTCCTGACCTTCAGCCTCAGGACGTCACTCAGAGGATTTAGTTTCCTCTTCACGGACCTCCAGCCGAACAACAAGAAAACATTTTTTTCTTTTCTCGTGAAGTCGAGGCGTGTAAAAACACAATCGGTGAAACACAAAGTTAATCTGCACACTTCCAGTAAACTCTGGGCCTGAAGAGAAAGAGAAAGTTCGGCCGCTGACTCACAGGAAATTCCCAGAAGGTGTAATCATGTTCCAACGACACAATGAAGAAATAAATATATTTAATAAAAGCACAGAAAGAGAAACACTTTAGATCTGCAGCAGAACATTTGAAGATAAAAACGAAGTACCAAACCAGCAGGGATCCTCTTCTGCTCATTTATAAAAACACTCGTGTCCGAAGATGTGATCCAGAGGAAACTTTTTAAAGGGACAGTTCACTGAAAACACATTCTACACCTGGAGCAACTTGGACCTTTGTTGCATGGGGCTCATGAAGTAAACCACCTTTCCACACTGCCTCAAATAAAGCAACAAACACATTTACAAAGATTGTGATTAAAACTCACTGATGCACAATGTGCTGCATATCTATAAAATGATGTTAGCTGCTGTTCATATATACAGAGCATCAGGTAGTGTAGTCCAACACAGTCTCACGGCATTTCGTGTTATAGTCACGAAAATTAATCTATTGATTCGTGTTCACCAACACAAAAAATACAGATTTCAGTATTCTGACACAGAACGATTTTAGAAGCAATGTATTTCTATTGGTAGTATGTTTCGTGCCTGCACCAAATAATAACTAATTAGAAGAAGAAAAAAAATACAGATTTCAGTATTCTGAGGCTCTGAGCCACATTTATTTTCCTCGTGGACGGCAAAAAAACTCAGACATTATACAATTTAAAATAAAAGGGTTAGGCTTAGGGTAAGATATTGAGTAAGAAAATGTTTTTATGAACCACACAGCTTCCGGTCTTCCAAGACCCGACCGGACAAAAAGACGTGGTGCAGGCACGAATCAATAGATTAAATTAATTTCGTGACTATAACATGAAATGTCGTGAGACTGGGTTGTGTAGTCACATGTTGGGATATGGAAACATCACGTTAGCAGGATAGCATTAGACTGTGTCAGTAAATACCCCACTGGTGAATTGAAAGACGGAGGTTGCCAACAAGTGGACTTAATAAGACGACTTAACGTCATCACGCCCAACATTAGCCGCCTTTAGCTTAGCGGTACTGACGTGAAGTCATGTGACCGTGCTGTAGTTCCTTTATAGCCCAACATTAGCCGCCTTTAGCTTAGCGGTGGTGACGTGAAGTCATGTGACCGTGCTGTAGTTCCTTTATAGCCCAATGTTAGCCGCCTTTAGCTTAGCGGTGGTGACGTGAAGTCATGTGACCGTGCTGTAGTTCCTTTATAGCCCAACATTAGCCTCCTTTAGCTTAGCGGTGGTGACGTGAAGTCATGACCGTGCTGTAGTTCCTTTATAGCCCAACATTAGCCTCCTTTAGCTTAGCGGTGGTGACGTGAAGTCATGTGACCGTGCTGTAGTTCCTTTATAGCCCAACATTAGCCTCCTTTAGCTTAGCGGTGGTGACGTGAAGTCATGTGACCGTGATGTAGTTCCTTTATAGCCCAACATTAGCCTCCTTTAGTTTAGCGGTGGTGACGTGAAGTCATGTGACCGTGCTGTAGTTCCTTTATAGTCTAACGTTAGCTTTTTACTTCAGAAATCATTAAGTGGTGTTAACATGTGGAGATTATCCTGCTGAAGTAAACATGTAATTATCATAAACGTTTGTTTGACACTGAGATTATTTTCTGACATAATCCAGAATCACATGGAGAAATACACCAGTGTTCACCTAAACAACTAATACAGCTAATCTCATGTCTGATTATCAAAGCCGCATGCTACGAGGTGGTAGCCAAGCACAGGATAGTTAGAAAACAAGTTGTTTTGTATCATGTAGTTTTGTGTCCCGGAATGATGTGTTGGAATCTGGTAGCCACATTTAGCAGTCAACATTTTGAAGGTGGCATCAACATGTTTGGACAAAGTAACAATGCGCTACCATATAAAAGACACAAGTTAGAACAAGGAAGGCACAATTAGCGACATTTTGAAACTTGGAGTATCTCGTTGTGAAGTAGTATCCAAGCACATGATAGTTATATAAACAAACTTTATAAATAAATTGTCAAGTGGTAAAATCCCGCTCACAAAGTAGTCCCATGTTGTCGGAGTGTCCAGGAATGATGCAGTAATGTTTTTGAAAAGTGGTTGCCACATGTTGAGCTATCAAAGCCACAGGTTAGCATGTTAGCAGTCACAAATTAGGAGGGTGGTACCCACATGTTTGGACACAGTAGCCACATGTTAGCATATCAAAACAGAAGGTGCAATTACAAGGTAGCCACAGAATGTTTGGTGATGCTAGCCACATGTTTGGAGATAGTCCACATGTTGGAAGATGCTAGCCACATGTTTGGAAATTCCGTCCACTTGTTTGGAAATGCTAACCACATGTTTGGAGATGCTAACCACATGTTTGGGGATGCTAGCCCCATGTTTGGGGATGCTAGCCACATGTTTAGACATGCTAGCAACACGTTTGGAGATACTCCACATGTTGGTGATGGTGGTCACATGCTAGGAGATGCTAGCCAAAAGTTGGGAGATGCTAGCCACATTTTTGGAGATGCTAGCCAGAAGTTTGGAGGTGTTAGCCACATGTTGGAGGTGTTAGCCACATGTTGGGAGATGCTAACCACCATGTTTGGAGATAGTCCACATGTTTGGAGATGCTAGCCACTTTTTTGGAGATAGTCCACATGTTGGAAGATGCTAGCCACCATGTTGGAAGATGCTAGCCACATGTTGGAGGTGGTAGCCACATGTTTGGAGATGCTAGCCACATGTTGGAGATGCTAGCCACCATGTTGGAAGATGCTAACCACATGTTTGGGGATGCTAGCCACATGTTTAGAGATGCTAACCACATGTTTGGGGATGCTAGCCACATGTTTGGGGATGCTAGCCACATGTTTGAGGGGTAGCTACTTGATGTAAACTGGTAGCCACATGCTGAAAGTCAGTAGCCCGCGGTTAGCGTCCCTCAGGCTGACGGCGGTGCAGTTTGCGGCAGCTGATAGAAACCTTTCTTCCTGGATCTCCTCAGCAAGTCGAGGAGCAGAGCGGCGGCGGCGAGCCCAACGGCGGAGCAGAGGACTGGGATGAGAACGCTGCCGAGATTGGGAGGACTGGAGCTCCTTTCTGTGTGGAGGAGGACACATTCAGGATCAAATAAACCAGGATGTTGTTAACCATGTCAGAATCAAATTAAACTTTATTTATTTAGCACTTTTCATACACAAAAGGTAACTATGTGCAATATGTGCAATATATATATATGCCGTTAATAACTGCAATATATACCAGGTAACATGAAGCTGTCTTTGGCTCTTTTCTGCTGTAACAATGTAAATGTCCCCTCTGCGGGACTAATACAGGGATTCTGATTCTGATTCTGAAAGTGCTTCACAAACCAAAAACATAGAACATTTACTAATAAAAACAATACTATCTCCCCCTCCCCAGGTAATAATCAGAGTAACAAATAGCTTTGTGATTTACAAGAACCCTTACTACCGAATCAGAATCAGAACAGGTTTATTGCCAACTAGGTTCACACGTGGAATTTCCCTTGGTGTATATATGGTGCTTACATAAACACAGTTAAAGATCAATTGTAAGAAATACAACCAAAAAATTCAAACTATTATTAAAACAATTTTTTTTAAATCTATGTAAAGAGTCTCATACAAGGACATTTTATTACTTAGAATTTCCGGTTCAGTTTGTCTGTGATAATGCATAAAACATATATTAAGTCAAAGGGAGACAGCACTGACCTCTGACCCGGATGCTGAACACTCTGACCTGGAACCCCAGCTCGTTGGTCACGTTGACCTGGTACATCCCAGAGTCTCTGGCCGTCACGTTGACCAATAGGAAGGTGCCGTTGGACGAGTATAGCTCCGTCCCATTGGCCAGGTTCTTCAGACTGACGGCGGCGGGCGGGAAGCAGACGGTGTGGCAGGAGACGGTGATGGTTTGTCCCTCATGGACCACCGTAGAGGGCAGGACCAGCACCGAGGTGTTCCTGGGGGGCGCTGTGGAGACCAGATTAAGATTATAATGCTTTGCTGAACAACTAATACTCTTTATAATGTGAAAGCGTGTCAGACATTTGATTTAAAGTCTTTCTGAAATGGTAAATGGTAACAGAACTTTACTTATATAGCGCTTTATCAGGTCTTTTCGACCCCTCAAAGTGCTTTACATACATCATTCATCCATTCACACCTCATTCATGCAGAGGGTTTAGGGTTAGGGCTAGTGAAACACGTCAAACTTTTATTCTATTCATGAAAATAAAATGCTACTTTTCGCCCAACTAGCAGTGAAATATCCCCTTTTTTGGAAACAATAGCCGCTTTCACACCAAGTACTTAGCCGGTACTTGTCCCCGGTACTTGTTCCCCTGAACTCTTTAGTCCCTCGAACTGTCCTAGTAGATCGCGTTCTCACCGGAACAAGTCCCTGAGGGAGGATTAGGAAAATGAAGCCGCTGACGTCACTTCTTCTTCTTCTTCTGCTTTGGGATCACAAAACTTTTCTGAGTCTTACGGGGCGTGGTTTGCAATTCACCGAGCCAATCAGAAATTGTTAGTGTGGCCGACACACCGGGTGTTTCTCAATCGCGAGTAAAGCTGCTTCAGAGCCACTATTTCAAGCATACTACGTCATCGAGTGCCGCCGAAGGACTGTTCCAATGTCCAGCATACTTGGAAATCTACCGAGCCCGGCGTACTTCGTTTGGAGAAATATCGAGGCTGCACTTGTGTAGACTCCGCGGTCTAAAAATCCCCACAATGCTTTGCGCACGGACCAATTTCCCCAAATCTGTGGCGGAAAATGTAAGGCGGGGCCTCTCATATGACGCACACCTGCACACTTGCTAGCCTGTTCCACTCTTCGTTTTCCGAATGCCAGGAAGTATTCTTGCCTCGCTTCTGAAGCAAGTGACTCGGAAAACATGTGCTACCAAGCAAGCGTACTCGAGATTGAGAAACACCCACGAACCATTTCCTCCTCAGGAAAGTACCACCTCTCTAGCAGGGACTATCTGGGGGTGAAAAGGTTCGCGCGAACTAGGGACTAGTCCCAGATCCTTCTTGGTGTGAAACCAAATCTCCCCCCTATCTGCCTAGTTCGGGGGGAAAAGTACTCCGGTGTGAAAGCGCCTATTGACGGTTTCTTAGATATGAAAAAGTCTCTATTTTAGCCTTTTTCTTTTTACTTAACCTGGCCCAGTGTGTTCTTTATGGATTACATATCCTCTATTATCAAATATTGGGATTTGTTTCCACGGCACAGCAGCATGTTTATACACACAAAAATGACAAAATAGAGTATGACAAAAAATAAGTTGGAATATAATGCAGACCATTTACATGCACTAAAACCTATATAACACAATACAGGAAGGGGAACACCACAACAAGCAGAATAGAGACCCTTTAGAAGATTGACAGAAGCTACATCTACAACTACTTTGATAATGGATTAACTTTCTCTGTTTTATATCAAAGTCACTGGACTTTTTTAAACTATTTAATCTGCAAAATATCTGTAGATGAATCCATGAAAAATAGCTTTTTGTTATCGTAGATGCTCGGCAGGGATTACGAAACAGTAGTTTCAACAATGAGGAGGAAGATTTCTCAGGAAGTGTGAAGGAGGATCATTTAGTGTCAAACACAGGAAGGGAGTCTCAATGGAAAGTCAAAACAAGACAACTTTTAACACTAAGATAAGGGCATCACAACTTTTATCTTTCGATTATAACTCTGGGGAAAAACCTCCTGACAGAACGTCTGTAATTCAAAAGTGAAAGAATGAAACTGAACTGTTTGGTGAAGCAGAGTTTATAACGGGAGCAGTTTAATGGTTTGTATAAGGCGTGTGGCGCAGTGGACTAGTGTGTTGGTGTTGGGATCAGGGGAGCACAGGTTCAAACCCCACTGCAGTCAGCATGTCGTTGTGTCCCTGAGACACTTCACCCCAAATTGCTCCTGTGGGGGTTGTCCTCAGTATTGAGTCTCTTTGGATAAAAGCGTCTAACAAGTAACATGTAATGTAATGTAATGTAAGATCATATGATTAACCTTTAAAACACTCAATGTGCTGCCTTTTAACTTCTAAAAACACCTTTTTAAAAATGCTTTTTACTAAGCCTTAACTTAAAGAAAATCAAATGTATTCCAACAAATAGTGATTTATGAACTCTGCCTAAGTTAAAACATCAGTATTGTGGTATTTAAAAATGAATTTGAACTTGTATTCTTTGCATTACTTGAGGTCTTAAACCACTGCAATTTCCTTTATTTCACCAGATGCCATTTTCTAGGATTCAATTCTCTAAATTCTAATATTAGAATTCAGTGTTTTATTGTCAGAGTTTATAGATTGTTTTATCTTCACGGTCTACTCTACTGTATATTATCTACTTTTTAATGCTGTTTTAATTCTTTTTTGAGATGTTTAAATTATAGAATGGTTTATTTCTACTCTTTCATTTCTACTCATGTGCAATGCCTTGTTTTTTATGCTGCTGCAACGCAAACTCTTTCCAATTTGGGATCAATAAAGTACCTCTCATCTTATCTTATTGGAAATTTGAGGAAATCATCATCAATAGTTTCTATAACAAATCTAAAACGTCCTTTTACTCAATGCATGTATACTTTTAAATAGCAAGACCACAGAAAGGGAAATCTTAGCAGTGGCTTAGTACGGTATAGTTAGGCCTCGTTAGGACTGGCTCACTTTATGCTGCGTTTCCATTACAGTTTAGGAACTGGGGCAGTAACTATAGTAACGCAGTGTAGGCGGAGCCGTGACGTCATCTTCAATGAGAACCCCACAAAACCAACACAGCCGTTAGCTGTTAGCACTCAGAGCTCACAGCTCCTCATATCTGTTCAGAAACTAGACAAAAGTTAAACAAGTACAAACCACAGACTGCCTGTGTCATGGAGAATACAGTCGCTGCTTTATTTATGTCTGTATAGGCCGTTGTTGTGAGTGTGGACGGTCGGAGCATATACTGCGTTAGCTTAGCCAATCTCCATTTAGAAAACACGCATTTTAAAAGGTGTTTCGCCTGCCGTCTGTCTGCAGACTTGTCAAAGCATTAATTCATGGTTTTTACTAACCGGTATCAGTATGTTGTTACTTCAGCATCATTTTGAAACGTGTATTACAATTAAATCACGGTCAAATGTGTTCATTGTGTTGTAGTTGTAGCCACTCACGTCACTAGTTTAGCATACTCAGCCCGGTTGTTGGCCCGGAAAGAACCTTGATTTTGGAGTGCCAGAAAAACTGTGAACGAGTACCCGTTAGCCGGAACTACCCCTAGAGGAAACGCAACAAAAAACGGGCCAGGTTTGGCACGGCACGCTTAAACCGTGCTACGGGCTGCAGTGGAAATGCGCCATTAATGTTCACTGAAGTTATTCATATATATATATGTATGTGAATATCTCTGAATATCTGTGGATGTGATCAGCTGCTCGCTCAGGAGGCCGACACATTACTGAGCACAGAGTCACAGTTTATTTCTGTCCACAGCAGCTCAGCATCTTGTGAAGGAGGGAGACTCTTCAGATAACGTCTGTCACAACAACCACAGAAACTCATGAAGCAAGAAGCAGAAGAGGAACCGGGGGAACATTTATAAAGTCTGTCATCCACCAAAAATGTTATTATCATTCAGAGGAAGTTAAAACAAACTTTTTATTGACCTTTTTAATAACTGTGCTTAACCTGCCCACAAAGTAGCATGGATTACATTTATGAAAACATATTCGATTTAGTTAGCATCCAGTTAGTCCATCTTATTGTTGTAAATAAGTCTGAGGTTCACAACATTTTAATCCGAGATTAACAAAACCTGAATCTGAAATGTACACAATTTAAATCTGAGTTTAACAAGATTAAAATCAACAGAACCCAATCTGAGGTTAATAAAATTGTAAGCTAGTTTTAGATTTGTATATGCACTGATTTCACTGCAAGATGTTAATTTAATTAATGCCCATCAAAAACAAATTGTCTATATTTCAACTGGACTTCAATCAAAGGAATGTATTGCAAATTAATGTATCATACTTGTACGTAAAATACGTCTACTTATGTTTAACTGAAAGGGGACCTATCATGCAAAATGCATTTTTTGATGTCTCTTATACATAAACATGTGTCCCCGGTGTGTCAGGGAACTCACGCAGCATCAGGAAATAAAACCCTCTCTCTTTTCCTCCGTACCCAAATCTCTAAAAACGGGGGAACAACGGAGCTGATCCAGATTTGCGTCCGATATGACGTAATATCTGAAATGTGGACCCACGGCCCTATCAGAAACGTTGCTATCAGAAACAATGCCCGACTGTTTTGGACGTAATATGGTCAGTGTTTACATTAGCATGGCTAACACTCAGAGCTAACCTGTACTGGAGAGCATGTGTGTGAAGAAGCAGGAAATAAAAAGGAACTCACCTTGTGGTATAACCGGCAAGAGAGAAAGCCTTTGAGCTCCATACTGTTTCAGAAAGAATCCTTGATAATCCATGATATGGCGTTTCATCACGGCAGTATTTAGTTTAGACAGTAGCTGCCGGGTCCCGCATGAGCTCAGACCAGTGGCGTCGCCTGGCCTGGGCATCCGGGGCTTTAGCCCCGAATGTTTTTTCTGTAGCCCCGGACAATTCTCCCTCAATAATATAATACATTAACCGGGCTTTACGTGAACCTCATCATGACACGAGAGGACGGCAGCACTGTAATTTCCCGTGTTCAGTGAATGCAACAGAGGCATGACACCAGACCAATCAGAGAGTTGCATGGAAATAAACGTGTGCTTGTGTCATTCAAGCTGGCTCTGTGTGTGTGTGCGGCAATAGCGCATTTAGTGTGATAGAGAGAGAGAGAGGGAGAGAGGGGGAGGGAGGGACCGGTGCCAGCAGGGACCGTGTTGTTAGCATCTGGTTAGCTAGCTGCACTAACGGACATAAGGAGCTGTTTGTTCCACAACAAGCTGGAGGAGAGTCCTCTCCTCTCAGACTGAGAGACTCAGGTGAGCTAAAGGACTCTCTGAGTGTTTAGATACTTAACTTTAGTCTAAGTTATCTCAGTGGGTCTCAAACGGTTTGGTCACAAATTATTCAAAAGAGTGTTTCCGCGGCACACCTTCATATGATCATTATAGTTATAAAAAAAATAAGAGAATAAAGGAAAAACAGTTATGAAATACTATATGGCAGTAAAACAAGAATAGAGTTTAAAAGGGGAGTGATTAGTAAAATATCCATAAAGAAAAAGTACATCTGTTTACAGTTCTGCTTCATATGGGTGTTGAGAGAGGTATCCATAGATCTCTTCATTTTGCTCTCAAAGTGCACCAGATTGATGCATTTAACTTCAATATTTAAAAAAAAATCTTCCCGGGGGAGCATCCCCCCGGACCCCCTAGAGGAGGTGAGGTCCGCCCCCCACTCATAACAAATACCACTTTACCCCTGCCTATATGCCGTGAGCTGATTATCGAGCCTTCATTGTAACAGTCGCGGGTGTACTGTGTGTGTGTGCGTGTGGGGAGTGTTGCAGTAAAAAATGCCACTGTAGTGCCGCCGCCACTGTGGGCTAAGCCCCGAATGTTTTCAGGTCCAGGCGACGCCCCTGGCTCAGACCCCTCCTTATTAAAGCTTTATACCCCAAATCAGCACTTTAGAAACAGGAAGTGAAATAGAGGGATATGAGGCATGGCTAGAATGGGTGATCTGTTAGGTATTTAGAGCAAAACACCTCATAGACATGTTTTTTATATATTTGTATATATCTGAGACCTATGCTATTGCCTAAAAATAGCATGATGACCTTTAACTGAATGTTTTTAGTGTGAAATCACCAAAAACAAGAGAGTTAGGAAAATAAATGTTTCGTGTGGAGTTCCTCAAGGCTCTGCACTCGGTCCTCTAGGTTTTCGATTATATTTTATATAATTTTTAATGTGCCAATTAAATATTAAACTAATAATTAAACTAAATAAGGGCCTAACACTCTCACATGGAGCGCCTCATGGCTCTGAGTTTTGGCTTCACTTTTACTCTCAATGAGTCATAGTACTACACCACTGGCAACAGTAACGTACCTGTGACGGTGATGGATCGGGTCATCAGTTGTGCTTCGTACTGATTGGATGCTTCACACAGGTAGGAGGCGGAGTCCTGCAGCCGGGCGGAGGAGAGGCTGAAGGAGAGAGAGGAGGAGGCGGAGTCTGTCCTCTGAACCTCCTCCCCCTCCCTCCTCAACACCAGCGTGGGGGGCGGGGCTCCGTCTGATTGGCAGGTAAAGGTCACCTGCTGCCCCTCCAGCACCTGCTCACCTGGACTCACTGACAGGGAGGTTCCCCTCGGAGGATCTGCAACACAAACGGGACTCATTGGTTCAGATTTCAAAAACCTGAAACTCAGTTTGACAAAATCTGAATCGGAGTTCGACTAAACCAGAATTTGAGATAAACAAAGCGTGAATTTGTTAATCCCAAATTATTCAATCGGAGATTTACAAAACCTGAATCTGAGATTAAAAAAATAAAAAATCTGAGAGGAACAATATTTTAAAACCTTAACTTGTGCTTTTCAAAACCTTTAATCTAAAATCAACAAAGCCTGAATTTAAATTCAACAAAACCTCAATCTGAGATAAAAAGAATAGCTCCTTCACAATAAAAGCCTCTAACAGGAAGTATTTTATTTGCTCAGACACTCACAGTGAACCTTTAGAGCTACACCCGTCGTCCTGGACCTCCAAACGTCTCCGTCCTCCCTCAGCAGCTCCGCCCTGCAGACCAGAACCGGCTGATCCTCCTGGACCTGGTACTGAAGAACAGACGAGACGTTCTGTAAGGAACCGGAGAACCTGAGCGACTCGGACATCAGCGTCCTGTTGCCAGATAACCACAGGATCCTCATCTGATTGGCTGAGAACACGTTGGTGACGTTACAACGAAGAACCGCCTCCTGACCCAGAAGGACCGGAACGGGAGCTTCCAGAACCGGATCGGACGGGAACGCTGCGAGAAGAAACATCCGGAGAGTTAGAGATACATCATCGATAACACATCCTGGTTATTCTCTTGATGTATCTGGAACACTCTGCCCCTCCATGTGAGGTCGGCCCAGACCTCTAAACTAAAAACACACTTCTTCTCTCTGGCCTTATGGCGCATTTCCACTACACGGTCGGCCTCGGCCACACTCGGTACGGCTCGGTACGGCTTGGCCGCGTTGGGCCTTAACAGGGCCGACTCACTTCATGCTGCGCTTCCATTACAGTTTAGGAACTGGGGTAGTTACTATAGTAACGCAGTGTAGGCGGAGCCGTGACGTCATCTTCAATGAGAAATCCAGAAACACAACACAGCCGTTAGCTGTGAGCACTCAGAGCTCACAGCTCCTTATATATGTTCAGAAACTCGACAAAAGTTAAACAAGTACACACCACAGACTGCCTGTGTCATGGTGAATACAGTCGCTGCTTAATTTATGTCTGTATAGGCCGTTGTTGTGAGTGTGGACGGTCGGGGCATATACTGCGTTAGCTTAGCCAATCTCCATCTAGAAAAACACGAATTTTAAAAGGTTTTTCGCCTGCCGTCTGTCTGCAGACTTGACAAAGCATTAATTCATGGTTTTTACTAACCGGTATCAGTATGTTGTTACTTCGGCATCATTTTGAAACGTGTATTACAATTAAATCACGGTCAAATATGTCCATCTTGTTGTAGTTCTAGCCCTCTTGCCAGCGCTCCTCTCTCTAGTTTAGCATACTCAGCCCGACTCAGCCCTGTTTGTTGGCCCCGATAGAACCACAATTTTCTAGGGCCAGAAAAGAGGGGAAAAAGTGGCCCCGCGCCGTGCCGCGCCGGAACGAGGCCTAGTGGAAGCACAACCAAAAAAGGGGACGGCACGACACGGCACGCTTAAAGCGAGCTACGCGCTGCAATGGAAATGCGCCATTAGAGCGGAGCACGACTCCTGACTTTTCCCTGTGTTTTATTTTTACTTTGTTTTTAAGATATATCTGTTGTAATTTATTGTCGTTTATTGTGATTTGTAGTAATGTGTTTTTATTACATGTACAGCACTTTGGCTCGACCAAAAATCGCTTTTAAATGTGCTATATAAATAAAACCTGATTTGATTTGATTTGATGTATTACCTCAGATTGTAGAGAAGTCTATGAGAACATGTCCCTACTTCTCTCTCTCTGTATTACCTCAGTAAACATTGTCCTGATGAGTTGATGGTCTCAATCTGTATCTCCAAGTCTTCTTCAACACAGCATGATGTTCATTTAGTAAATGATAGTCCCATTAAAAGTAAAATAGACAATAAAGCGGCGTATGCTTGTGGGCGGGGCTAACTTTGATTGACAGGCAGCTACCTGGTGTTGTCCTTGTTTCACAGTTTGTGTTTTCACTCCATTAAATGTCATTTTCACAGTTTACTAATGTTGGTTGTACTCACTGTAGCTCCACTCTCTTTCTCACTAATATATAGTGGCCGTAAAATCGATATATAAACCTACTAAATGGCAATAAACGAGGTTGTGTTGTTATTTAAAAACATGACTTCCAGCTCTATTAACTCTCCTCTCCTCTTTCAAAGTGAGACGTGTTAAAGTGACGGCTATATATAATCATTTACGCTGATGCATAGCACAGTCACTAAAGAGACAACAGGAAGTTATCTTTTTTAAGCCACTCACTGAGTAGCGGACATTTTCCACCAACACACTGAGAGTTTATTTTAGGCACTTGAAGGTTGTTGCACATTATTGATAATCTCTGTTTTATTTACACTCTTTCCTAATTTACAACTACAGTACTACTTAAAGATGTGTCCTGTTTAAAAAAACAGTTTACTTCTGTCTATCGTCTCTATCGTTATCTGATGAAGTGTGTCTGAAAGGATTTTATGTTCCTGTGAGAGGTTCATGAACTCCTGACAGAACAAACTGAGGGTCCAATGTCTCTGCGGGGGAGCTGTGTCTTACTGGAACTATGTGAGGGGGTGTACAGTGTGTGTGTGTGTGTGTGTGTGTGTGTGTGTGTGTGTGTGTGTGTGTGTGTGTGTGTGTGTGTGTGTGTGTGTGTGTGGCCCTGCTCCCCTGTTGTGTCACTTCCTGTCAGTGTGTCCTGCTCGGATCAGATTCAACACAGATCAGTGAGAGGACTCTCCCTCTGCGTTGGCTTCAACTTATATTTAAATGCATTCCCCCTTATTTAAAGCAGTATTTTTGTACCTTACTCGTCAAATTATTAAGTTAGACACTCTGTCCAGATTTATTTCTCTGTCCATTGTCAGAAGAGCGTTGACGTGTAAAGCCCCAACAGACTGGAGTACTTGACCTGCTGTTGTTAGATCATCAGTGGGTACGTTTCAGCCTCATCATCTCACTTTCAGCTGCTCTTGTTATTGATCAAACTGATCTGTCAAACACTATCTATCACATTGTAATGATTGTAGGTATTACTTCATGCATTTTACTGAACAGATGGTACGTGGTTTGTCATGCTTTGCTTTCTGTTATGTTGTTCATGTCTGTCTGTAACACGTTGCTTTTGTCGGGACCCCCTTGAAAACCAGATGGTGCATCTCAAGGGGTTTATCCTAATAAATACATTTCTATATATATAATCTAACAGAAGGGAGGGGCTCTGTGACCTTCGACCGCTCTGGTCTGACCGTCAGGCAAACTGAAGTGTAGACTGACCCTGACCCCCCTCTGACACCTTCAGAGACCCTCGGGAGACCCTCAGAGAGACCCTGACCCCCCTCGAGACCTTCAAAGACCCTCAAGAGACCCTCAGAGAGACCTGCAGGAATGTCTCAGTGTCTAATTTAATCCTGTCTAGTGCTGTCCCTATGCCTGTTCTCCTGCATTCTTCAAAGCAGATTCCTGGATAACCGCACTTCCAAAATACTTCACACTTGAATCTCTGCTTCTTTGGAACCTGAGAAAAATATCTGCCAAATTTGAAGTCAATCCAATGAACGCTATGATCACCCATTGGATTGTGGACTACAGTTTCGAAGCCCCACGTTTGGCATGTTGTTTTGTTGGCTGTCACCTTGTTGTTATTTTGCAGTCTCTATGTTGATTTTGGGAAACCAGAAGTGACGTAAGAGGGTGGAGCTAAAACTACCGAGCATTGAAGAGAGGCTCTATTCTGCTTGTTGTGGTGTTCTCTCTCTCCTGCAGATGGCCATATGTTTCCAACTTATGCTTCTGAAATGCAGTAAACTCGGGTATGACCTTACTCCTATTTCCCACCTCCAATGTAAAAGTAAGGAAGCATCATTTTGAGATGTTGAGAAAAAGTCTGACATTTAAGCAATAAGTCAAAAATGTTGAGTCTGAATTATTTTTTTTTTTTTAAAGAAGTTTTTTTTGTTGGCAAAAGTCAGATTCTCGAGATTATGAGAGAAAAAGTCATAATTTTGGAAAAAAAAGTCATAAAAAAACAACAGAATTCCGATATTTTGATTAAAAGTCAGATCTTTTAGAAAAAAAGTCAGAATTTTTAGAAAAAAAGTCAGAATTCAGATATTTTATTGTATTGATATCTGCAGAGGCTAAAACCCCTGTGTTCCTTCAGAGGGGGTTTCTCTCAGACTTGAAGGTTGCCCCTTGGCTAAAGTATTTTTTATGTCACACCCTAACGGGGTCTCGGACTCACAGAAGACGAGGAGCTGGAAGAACGTCTATATGACCCTCTCTGTGGACTGATTCTGATCAGTAATCATGTTAACCTTGTGCTCTCTATATCCAAAGGTCGCAGCACTACTCATGGTAGTCAGAACCAGCAAGAGTACAAAACCCCAAAACCACTACACCCACAAAAAACACTTCCCAAAGTGGGATTAATAAAGTACATCTTATCTTATCTTATTTATCCAAAACCACTTCAAATTTCATTTCACATCCTAACAGGAGATTTGGGTTTTGTCAGTGTCCCTTTGTGTATTCTGTTACTATTAATTATCCCTTGGTTTCAACTTGGTTGGGCCAAGCCACTAGAGAGGTTCCTTGGTTTGTCATGAGGTCAGTTTGTTGAGGGAACAGCTGTTAAGTTGATGCCATGTTTATTTGAGGGGACTCACAGAAGACGTGGACCTGGATCTCTGCGGTCCGGATCACAGAGTCACACTCGGCCTCACAGCTGTACCCTCCCTCATCCTGGAGGTCCACATCCTGCAGGAGGAGCAGGGACTGGTTCTGGTTCTGGTGTGACCCCTGGAGGAGGGTGTGGTTCTGGTTCTGGTGTGACCCCTGGAGGAGGGTGTGGTTCTGGTTCTGGTGTGACCCCTGGAGGAGGGTGTGGTTCTGGTTCTGGTGTGACCCCTGGAGGAGGGTGTGGTTCTGGTTCTGGTGTGACCCCTGGAGGAGGGTGTGGTTCTGGTTCTGGTGTGACCCCTGGAGGAGGGTGTGGTTCTGGTTCTGGTGTGACCCCTGGAGGACGGTGTGGTTCTGGTCAGTCCTCCTCCAGGTGAAGGTGGGGGGGAGGAGACACCCAGAGGCCCGGCAGGTGAGCAACACATCTGAACCCCGATCTGCTGCAGGGACCAGGGGACTCAGATCCACCTGCAGGGGGTGAGCTGACAGAACAACAACACCGTATAAACACGACTACATGTAAACAACAACACAACGCGCTACAACGACCGTGCACTGAACACAAACAATGAAAATCCAGAATATTCAGAGATTGTTGGAGCTTCATATTATTGAAAAGTTAAACATTGATTTTCTTGCTGTTATTGTTTATAGTGAGTTAAAGTCGTTTCTAAGCTTGTATTCTGAAGGCATGTCAGAGCGCCTGGTGTGATTGTATATAATGGAAACAGGTGGAGGTGGGAGTCGAGCACTAGTAGGCACATGGTTCTTTATCAGGGTGAAGCCACACGAAGGAAAGACATAGGAAAGGCTTCAGGAGAGAAATATAGGAAACCTGTGAATTGTTCTTTGTAAATGATATTGGATCGTAATGAAATGCACAAACGGATATTCTTGTCTTGGGTCATTGCCCTGCGTAAGATCCGCTAACTGGTGCCTCAGCTGTGTTATTTTTAAGTGAATTATCTGTTTTATTTCTATATGATTTTGTCCGCTTCAGAGATGGTTAATTAAGACGGTAAAGCCGTACCTGTGACGGCGATGGATCGGTTCACCAGGTGAGCTCCGTACTGATTGGATGCTTCACACACGTAGGAGGCGGAGTCCTGCAGCGAGGCGGAGGAGAGACTGAAGGAGAGAGAGGAGGAGGAGGCAGAGTCTGTCCTCTGAAGCTCCTCCCCCTCCCTCCTCAGCACCAGCGTGGGGGGCGGGGCTCCGTCTGATTGGCAGGTAAAGGTCACCTGCTGCCCCTCCAGCACCTGCTCACCTGGACTCACTGACAGGGAGGTGTTGGTGGGGGGGGCTGTGGGGGGGGGGGACAGGTGAGTTATGGAGCGTTCGGTTAAACTGGAACACTTTGATAATTTAACATATACATTTGTAACAGCTTTGCTCCTCGAATCATAGTTTTATTTCTCTTCCGGTTCAGAGTGTGTGAAAAACATCCGGAAAACACGTGAAACATTTCTAAAAAATACATTTCAGAAATTGGAAAAATCATTCAATAATAGCCAAGAATTAAAAGTCAAATGTGAACATTTTCAACGTAGTCCTAAAAATATTGGGTGATGGTGAACTGCGAAAGATGTAAACAACAACAACTTTCCTGTGGGTGGCAATATTTTTCCGACTTGTGCTACATGAACGCAGTAAACTGGGCTGTGACGTCATTTCTGACCTCCAATGTAAAGTTCAGATATTTTAGGGAAAAGTCAGAATTTTGAGAAAAAGTCAGAATTTTGAGAAAAAGTCAGAATTTTGAGAAAAAGTCAGAATATTGAGGAAAAAGTCAGAATTTTAGGGAAAAAGTCAGAATTTTAGGGAAAAAGTCAGAATTTGGAGAAAAAGTCAGAATTTTGTGGAAAAGTCAGAATTTTGAGAAATAGTCAGAAGAAAGTCAGAATTTCTCATCAGAGACGTTAAAACAAACTTCTCTCTCACCGTGCACTCTGACCTCCACGCTGGTGCTGTGATTCCCCTCGCTGTTCCTCGCCTCGCAGTCGTAGCGTCCGGCGTCACTCAGCCTCACCTGAGCGATCTCCAGCCTATCAGAGGGTCCGCTCGCCTCCACCTGTCCGCCTGCAGACCTGAAGCTCCAGCTGATCTGCGGCTCCGGGTTTCCCTTCGCGGAGCAGGAGAGGACGAAAGGAGCGCCGGCCATCAGCAGAACAGAGGAGGGGATCTCCGTCACCACAGGAGCGACTGAGGAGGAGGACTTATTTCATTGTTGGGAAAACACTGAACGTCCTCTTCCAACATGAGAGTAACTTGATAACAAAGGTATCCCAACTGTAGCTGTGAACGTGACAGGATGTCTGATTACCTAGAAGAGCATCAGGACTGTTTGAGGCATATGATAGCTATGTGATTAACATGATGATTCAGCCTCTATGGAGATAGACATATGACAAGCATGCTCATTTCTGACGTGGAGCTAATCTGAAGTAAACATTGAATACTGCTTTCTATTCCTCCATCTTGTGACTGTGTAACTCCCTCTCTTGGATATCAGCATGTGAAGGACACTGTTCAGGAACTAGTTGATGCTCTGTATGTGATGACTACTTCCATTCTGGAGAGGATCACAGATACATGGATCCTGAGGTTGAAGCTCAAGCCGCTGAGATTTTTCAACAATTCAACAATTATTATTATTATTATTATTATTATTATTATGATATCCCCGAGCATGTGATCCCCAGAGCTTCACTCACAGAGCGGATCCAGCAGAACTTCAGTCTCGCGGGTCTGGTCCTCCGTCGGCAGGTCCTTCAGGTCCAGCGTCGCCCTGCAGATCAGGCTCCGCCCCCGGTCCTGCTCCTGGGGTTTGAACCGGTACTCTGAGCGCTCCGCGCCCCTGGCGCTCTGCAGCACGGTGTCTCCCTGCAGCCAGCTGAGCGTCAGCTGCTCGAGGGGGTACACATCAGACACCTGACAGGTGAGCACAGACTCCGCCCCCAACCTGAGCCGCTCCTGTCCACCAATCAGAGGGTCCGATGGGAAGGCTGCAAACACAGAGGTTTACTCATTATAAACAGACATTATACAGGGTTTACTATTTATTTACACAATGTTGACAATATCTGTTTACTGCACATATTTTACATTTGATTCCATCCTATTTCAATGTAAATACTGCTTTATTTTATTTTGCTATATATTGTATTTTTTTTATGTTATTATAGTTTTCTTAAAATAGTTCTCTATCTGTGTTTTTAATTTTTGTGTTTTGCTTTTAAACGACACCAAGTCAAATTCCTCGTACGTGTCACTGGTGATAAACCTGATTCTGATTATGTAAATAAAATCCATCTTATATATATAATATACTTCTAAGTTCTGCAGTATTGTGTACAGCAGTGATCATCAACTGGCGGCCCACGGGCCAAATCTGGCACGCCAGACATTCTCATCCGGCACGCGCTGTGGCGCTGGAGGAGTGGTTAGTGCATTCCCCCCCCCACTCGTTTTTTTTTTACAACGTCTCGTGAGTAATGTGCAGTACCGGAGTCCAACAGAGAGGCAGCAGCTGCGAGACAGTAGCCTGCGCACTGCGTAGCCTTCCCTGCCCTGAAGAAGAAGTGATCCTTCGTTAGCGTGAAGAGTCTTCTTTATGCGCTCCGCAGTAGCCCGACTTGACAGTACATGAGCGTGCTCCACTAGCACACACCCCACCCCACCCCCCACCCCCCCCCCCCAACCCGGTCAACAACTTCAAAATTCAGGGCTATATATATATATATAAATCGCTGGCCCCCGAAAGTGTCTCTAGGAATAATTTTGGCCCTTGGACAAATGTAGTTGGTGATCCCTGGTGTTCAGTATATAATATACTAAGTTCTGCAGTATTGTGTACAGAATATAATATACTAAGTTCTGCAGTATTGTGTACAGAATATAATATACTAAGTTCTGCAGTATTGTGTATATATATATTGTGTGTATTTACAGTAGAGGTACAGGGTGCTGAGGCTCTTCCCCCTTTCCTCCCCGCAGCGGACCCGGCACTGCAGGGTTCCTTCGTGGTCCATCCTGACGGGGTCAAAGGTCACGGAGGAGCCGCTCTGATTGGATTTCACTGAGGCCGCGAGGGGCCGGTCGTTCAGCCACGACCACGACACGGTCGGCGTTGTGGGACATCCCTGCACCCGGCAGAACAGCTGCTGCCACTGCCCGAGCCTGATGAGAGGCCTTCTGGGTAACACGTCCACCTGGAGGAGTCCCTGAACGCACCACGACGTCAGCAGCAGCAGCACAGCTGGGAGGAAAACAACAACATGAAATATCAGAATAGTCTGATAGGGAGGGGAGGGGGGGGGGAGTGTTAGGCCCCGGCTCCACGAGGACAAATACGGCAAAACGCATCGGAGTAACGCAAATGCAACCGCAAAAAACCTTCCGTCCCCACGCAATATACACCGGATTGTGTCAAGCTCCACGAGACGGCTCCGTTTACATCCAAACGCTGGAAAAGCTGCAGTACATATGCTGAGCCTGTACGTGGCGCTGTAACTTCCTCCACAAAAGCAGCGAAGAAGAATGGTTGTCATGGCTGCACTTCTGTGTATTCTCCGCGGTGGGGGCCGACAGAACCGGGCAGAGTTTTTCGCCGGTCAACGTGTGTTAAAGTTTAAATCTTCCGGACAAAATGATAAAAGTGCCGGTCAAAGGTCTTCTTTGTTATTTATTGAGCTTTAAAACAAATGAATAACGACGATATAATGATATATAATCATCAAATACACGGAGCCTGTCCTCTCTTTTTCCTCTCTTCTGACAGCGTCAGTGTCTGTCTCATGCAGCAGCTGATCCAGTAATGAGTGACCCGACAGTAAAAATGAACATATTTATAACTAGTTTAGTTTGAGAGGTAATTAAAATAGCTAAGGGTGATGATCTGACTTGAAGTGTGTGTTTTGCTCCCGCTGCATCACAGCGGCAGGAGCTGCGTGTCTCCGTCCTGTCAGATTAGACTTCACTCGCGTTTATGTCCATATCGAGATAAAGATAAATAATCTGAATTCAAGGAGGAGCTCCTGTAGATGTTGCACAAAGAACTGTAGCATGGTCAGTAGCGACTGGAGCACGATAGCAACCCTGCGGGGGAGAGGCGGGGCTATGAAAACGAATGACCATATAGGCGACTCCACGGCCCCGTTGGACCCCCCAGAGCGCTCCGTTCCCAGATCTATCCACCTTTGGACCCGTTGTCGTTTGCGGGGTCTGTTTCTACGTTTCCCTTACGGCGTCGTCGAGCTTAGAGGGCTATACGCATGAGAAATATGCGGATTCAACCCGTTTTCGTCCTCGTGGAGCCGGGGCCTTAGTATTTTAAGATTTAATCAGTTGTAATGCAAGTGATTAATGGTTGATAACAAACTAACGTCTGTAACAACAGCACCGTCTGAGGGTCCTTTAGGTTCAAATGAATACATTACGCAGACGTTAGAGGAGATTCAGTTCAGAGAAGAAAGTCGGAAATAAACAATAAGAACAGCTGTTCTCTGAAAAATATAAAAGATAAAAAATTCACAAATTTAGAAGAAAACGACGAAAAAATATGAAAACAGTAAAAATAAATAGTAAAAACAAGTAAGAAATAGTACGAAAAAAAATGCAAATATTCTATAAAATTAATCGGCAAATATAAAAGAAAAAATGCAAACTTAGAAGAAAAAGACTAGAGTAAAAATAAAAGTGTATAAACTTAGTAATTAAATAGTTAAAATAAAAAGAATATCTTTCAATTGTGTTTTAATTTGTTGAGATTTCTTCAGTTTTTTGGTAGAAACCTGAAGCTCCAGTTTGGACCACAGAGCGTCTCAGAAGAACACAAATGATTAACGACACAGCTGATCTCATCATTTAAAATCAATCCCACAGATTATATATCATCCATTAAAAACTGTCTTCAGACACATTTAATAAACACTTATTACTGTGGGATCATTACAGGATAATTTAAATTTTTATTTTTTTATTTAGCCTTTATTTATACAGGTGTAAAATCTCATTGAGACACAAGGTCTCATTTTCAAGAGAGACCTGTCAGTGGTAACACTACCACACACAGTCACAGACAGGACACTAAACACAGAGGCAACACTAAAATACAACACCGTAATAATAACAACAAACAGCTGTGACCGAGGGAGGCGTGTGGCGCAGTGGGCTAGTGCGTTGGTGTTGGGATCAGGGGAGCTCAGGTTCAAACCCCACTGCAGTCAGCATGTCGTTGTGTCCCTGAGACACTTCACCCCAAACTGCTCCTGTGGGGATTGCCCACAATATTGAGTATGTAAGTCACTTTGGATAAAAGCGTCTAACTAGTGACATGTAATGTGATGTCATGTGACGTAATGTAATGACCTCCAGCTTCGCCTGAAACACGTTAACCATCAGGTAAAGTCAAATAGATCCAGGAGTTCACGGAGAGGTCGGCTGAGGTTAACTGATAACCTGATTTATAATCAATAAAATGAAAAAACAAAAACCTTTTATATATTAACTCCTTAACCAGCGTCTGTTTAGCATTATTATTATTATTATTATTATTATTATAAGAGGTAATATTATTATATAACAGTTTAACATCCAATTTAAATAATAATTTACACAGAGAGACGGTCAAATAAACTCCAAGTTTAAAAAGTAAAAAACAAAACAATTATTATAATTAATTTGTTATTATTTTAAAGACTGTCCTGTATTATTATAATGTGTTTTTTCTTATTGAAAGAAACAGGAATAAAAACCACAGTATACACATTTAATCACAAGACACAAAGAGGAAAAAACTAATAATTAGAAAATGTGTAAAAATACAAATAAAATAAAATAATAAAATAAATATTGTAATAAAAACAAAAAAATATGAGGAAATAAAAAGTACAACATAATAATAAATAAATAATAATAATAGTCTTACCTGAGAGAGCAGAGATCCGGCAGACAGACAGTGGAGACATCTCACTCCTCAGAGGATTAACAGGCTGATGAATGGATGACTGAATGATGGATGGATGAAGCAGCTGCTCTGCGTCGACGTTCCTCTGGAAATCAGAACCAGTCGCGGGGTAAAATCCAGACGAGTGAAGCCGAGGGTCTCCAGCCTTTCTGTTCCTCTCTGAGTCTCACACGCTCTCTTTATACCCCCCTCTCTGTGTGTGTTATTGTGAAAACAGTGCAGACCACAGCGCCCCCTGCAGGACACACACTGGAACTACACAATTTTCTCTTTCATTTTCTCTTCACAGCTTTCTATAAACAGTCGGTGATGATGTCTCTTTCTCTTTCTGTCTGTAAAATAGAAACAGCTCAGTTTGTGTGAGGTGGGAAACCCCTGTAACTATGAGGAGATGTAGAATGAAACATGTTAACAGAAATTGTAAAAACTGAACGAGTAGGACGAGCTGTAACGGACGAGGAGACCGACCCAGAAAGTAACATCAATTAAAGTTTAATCCTGGCACAATAATGTCAATTAAAAAAAAAAAGCTGTTTAGGGAACCAAGTCTTCTCAATTCAAGTTAATATATATAATACAAAAAACACGAAATAACTATATTGTATTTAAAACATATAATTATATAAATATATAATAATACATTTAAAATAAAATGTGGAAACTTTATTTATTTTGTATAATACATTTTAAAGGTGTTTCTTTACATTATAATTGCATTTAATAATAATGTTAATACTTTTTAAAAGATACATTTTAAAGCTGTGTCTTCAGAGTAAACACTATTTATTATTATCAAACTACTTAACCTGTAATTTTGCTAAAAATAAAGAACTATTAAAAAATGAACCATAATAATATTTCAAAGTTTTAAAATCCAAATAAATGTCAGTGTTGAACATTATAACACACACACACACACACACACACACACACACACACACACACACACACACACACACACACACACACACACACACACACACACACACACACACACACACACACACACACACACACACACACACACACACACACACACACACACACACACACACACACACACACACACACACACACACACACACACACACACACACAAAACAGGAAACGGCATCAGAAGAATAATTAGTTTATTTTTAAGTTATTTTCTAACTTTTCCCTTTAGTAAAATACTGAAACATTACAATACAACAGGATCAAGTCAAACAGCCAATCAGGACGGGGGGGGGGCATTTAAAAATAAAAGCCCTCTGCTGTTGAAGGCACTTCAGAGAAACCTTTGATATACATATCAAACAGCTGATTAACTCACACTTCCCTTTTAAGGAATACACACACACACACACACACACACACACACACACACTTCCCTTTAAAGAAATACACACACACTACCCTTTAAAGAAATACACACACACACTTCCCTTTAAAGAAATACACACACACACACTTCCCTTTAAAGAAATACACACACACACACTTCCCTTTAAACTTTAAAGGGAAGTGTGTGTGTGTGTATTTCTTTAAAGGAAAGTGTGTGTGTGTATTCCTTTAAAGGGAAGTGTGTGTGTGTATTCCTTTAAAGTTTAAAGGAATACACACACACACTTCCCTTTAAAGAAATACACACACACACACTTCCCTTTAAAGGAATACACACACACACTTCCCTTTAAAGGAATACACACACTTCCCTTTAAAGGAATACACACACACACACTTCCCTTTAAAGGAATACACACACACACACTTCCCTTTAAAGGAATATACACACACACGCACACACACTTCCCTTTAAAGGAATACACACACACACACACACTTCCCTTTAAAGGAATACACACACACACACTTCCCTTTAAAGAAACACACATCTCATTCCTCCTGAATGTCTTGAATCATGTGACATATGAAAATATGTCCTGACCTCCATCTGAACACACACACATTCAACATCCACCTCTCAGCCAATCAGAGCCATCAGAGCAGTCAGCTGGTGTTGGAACAGCCAATCAGCTGACAGAAACACAACCAAGGATTCAAATATTTCTGAATGAGCCGGCGTCACATGATCAAAAAAAGAACAAAATAATATTTATAAAAATACGTTTTTTTACCTTAACCTGCTCATACTGATTCATAGTTATATTATTGATCAGTTATTGCAAATTTCAAGTGTTTTTAAGTTAAAGAAAAACGAACATTAATGATATTTCTGTTATTTGTTTGTCAAGACATACATTTAAAAGTGTAAAATATTATTATTAGTTCATTAATGTGCCTAAACTCTTAAGACAAAAATATTTCAAATAAAGATATTTTAAATTAATGTAAAAATCATAGCTTTTTTTCATCTTGTTTTATTATATCTTGATTGTTTGCTTCATCGTCCTCAATAAGGACGCTCTCCTCATTCAATCATTATTAAATCATCATTATTTATACGGAAATAAAAAAGTTAAAAGTTTTAAAGTGTCTTCAGTTTGTAGTGAATATAAATTATAATATTAAAGGTCCCATGTCACGGCCATTTCTACTGATCATGGTTCCATTGTTGAGGTATACTAGAATAGATGTACATTGTTCAATGTTCCAAACTCACATTGGTTTCTCATACAGCATCTCTGTATAGTATGTGCATTCACTCTCTGTCCTACACGGCTTGTTGGAGCTCCTGCCCCCCCCTCCCTGTGAGCCTAGTGTGCTCTGATTGGTCGGGACATTGCGAGGCACGCTGCTGAGTGAGCTGGCTTACTGGTGTGGTTTCCGGGTCGGCTTTGAACAAGCGAAACTCATCCTGAGCACACACACACACTCGAAGTAAAAACAATAAGTGTGGCTTGATATTGAGAAAGAAAAAGGTTTGTAACGCTGTGAGAATGGGTCTGCGGAGAGAATGGGCCTGCAGAGAGAATGGGTCTGCAGAGAGAATGGGCCTGCAGAGAGAATGGGTCTGCAGAGAGAATGGGTCTGCGGAGAGCATTTCTCCACCATCCCAACTCGTCTATTACCAACCAGGGAGCTCTATGCAAGTCAATGGGACTCCCTGTTAGTTGAAAGTGTACGCTAAAGGTCCTGGTGTGTGAGGAGCTCCACGGATTGGTCCATTTTGGTTCCGGGAACCGCATGACGTCACTTGGTTCCCGGAAGAAACAAATGGAAAAAGAGAAATGTCCACCGAGGCGTTCTGGGGCAGCAGAGACAGGTCTTTTCTGTGTTAGAGTTTTACTCGCTACAGGGTGCACTTTGAGGGTTTGTGACTCTGCAGACCGTTCACATGCAGAAGCTACATAACACACAAGGGGACGGGTAAGAACCAGAAAAGCATGACATGGGACCTTTAATCATATATTTTTTCTCGGTCCTGTGTCTGTCTTGTTGTTGACCTGAACTGATCAGCTGTTTGAACCGGGGACTAGACCTTAAAGGTGGGGTAGGTAAGTTTGAGAAACCGGCTCGAGATACACTTTTTGTTATATTCCATGGAATGCTCTTAACATCCCGATAGCAATGAATATCTGAAGTGCTTTGACAAAAAATCCATAAAGAAATATCATCTGTGGAAGCTGTAGTACTGTAAAAAGCACGACCAATCATCTGAGCCGGCCCGGCTAAAATAACTGGATGGCCTACCTGCCTGTCAGCCTTCCATCGGGGCACAAACTTATCTCGTGCCCTCATTGGTCATGTGCGCGTTCGTGTGTGTTGGAGGAGGGGCTCTGTGAGGAAGTGGCAGATTTTCTCCGGCTGTGTATTTTCAAATTCTAGCGATCTCGAGCCGGTTTCTCAAACTTACCTTTAACTAGAGGATGGAAAATAAAAAAAATAAAAAAATTGAAAATAAAACAAAAAATAATAATAAAATAAAGAATAAAATAAAGAATAAAATAAAAACCAGTTCAGCAAGCGGTTGCTAGTCTGCAGAAATAGTCGGCTAATGATGTAAAATAATGTTCAATAGTTTGAGACACCAATAATGCATTAAGTATTCTTTCCTGCAGAAATGTTTTAAAATCTGCTTTTCTCTGTTTTACATAAAAGGGAATATCTTTGGACATCTCAACACATCACCTCGGACTCTGAGACACTGGGATGCAACGGGTTTTCACATGTTATAGACCAGAGAACTCATCAGAGTAATCTATAGTTAAATAACTTTAATTTAGTGGCAGCATCAGGACAGAAACCAGCTTCCTCCCAGCTTCCTGTTCAACACCTGAGCTGCTGTTTTATTATTATTTGATGTTTATAAAAAGGTCTGTCTTGTTATTGCACTGTTGAGGAACCTGTGAGATACGTTTTCCATTCATTGCATCCCGACACCGTAGTTGTGTTTAGGACATGACAATACATCTCTGAATCTTTTTTATCTGCTGAAATAGAAATGTATTTTTCTCACGTGACCCAAAAATAAAAAACAGAAATATTTAAAATCCTCAGATGTCTTCAGAAGGGGAATTCATTCACTTGAGAAAAATATATACTTTGTTCTGTAATACTGATTGAAGGAGATGCCTTAAAAATCTAAAAGAAGCGAAGGAGTCAGTGCGGAGCCTGAAGGCATCGCGGAGGAGCCTGAAGGCATCGCGGAGGAGCCTGAAGGCATCGTCTGACCAGGATCAAACTGAGGAACACGCATTTTTCTCAAGTGAATTAATTTAGTTTCTGCTGTTCGTTTCAAAATAAAAAAAATCAGAATCTTCTTAAGGGTGACACACACACACACACACACACACACACACACACACACACACACACACACACACACACACACACACACACCACACACACACACACACACACACACACACACACACACACACACACACACACACACACACACACACACACACACCACACACACACACACACACACACACACACACACACACACACACACACACACACACACACACACACACACACACACACACACACACACACACACACACACACACACACACACACACACACACACACACACACACACACACACACTCTGTTTTCCTGAGTTAGGTTGCTTACGTTCAGCTTTTGGGTCCCTTATTGTTCTTCTACTGTTATTATTATTGTTATTATTGCTGTCGAGGCAGGAATTAAACACTGTAACTATGGCGACGGAGGGTCGCCGTCAGCTGATCCTTCGCTTTATCAAAAGAAACAAAAATATCTTCTTCTGTCACAAATAAGAAATATAAAATCTGTCTTATCTAAATATATCTTCTTCAGCCAAAAACACGCGTGTAGATTACATCATATTTACAGACAGCTCATTAGCTTGTCGCTAGTTAGCATATTGCTCATTTACATACCGCTACTTAGCGTGCCACTTATTAGCATGCTACTCATTAGCGTACAGTGATCACAGCTTCAGTCTCTGAGCTGCTTTATTAGCTTCCCTTTGAGCGTGCCCCACACAGAGGGGGTTGTGGGTAATGAGTCCTCAGGTGAGACGTGTAGTTTTAGTACTGGATGTAGTCAGACTGAAGAGACTGTAGGAAAACACAAAGAGCAGGGTCAGAGGTCGTCTCTGGGACAGCACACTGTGGCCGTTTCTCAATGTGGAGTAAACCTGCTGCAGAGCCACTATTTCAAGTATACGACGTCATCGAGTGGCGCCGAAGGACTGTTTAAATGCATGTTAATTGTCAAGCATTCGGCGCCACTCGATGGCGTAGTATACTTGAAATAGTGGCTCTGCAGCAGGTTTACTCCACATTGAGAAACGGCCTGTGTTTTTAAATCATTAAAACATCACAAATAAAACATCACATAATGTTGAGCAGCAGGGGGCGCTGCACATTTCTCCTTCATCCTGAAATCAGTTCCTGTTTCCTGTCAGAATCGAGATGGTTATCTTGCAGCGTCGTCTCGATTGAAATCAACGCTTTGCTACGAGTTGTCGGGCAAAGAGTTAAAATGTAACGCTGCTGATTCACGACTCCTGACTTTTGTGTGTTTTATTTTTATTTTGTTTTTTAAGATATATCTGTTGTAATTTATTGTCGTTTACTGTGTTTGTAGTAATTGTGTTTTTATTACATGTACAGCACTTTGGCTCGACCAAAAATCGCTTTTAAATGTGCTATATAAATAAAACCTGATTTGATTTGATTTGATTTGATTGGTCGAGGGGTTCCGAAGTGGGAGGGGCAAAATAAAGTGATTAAAACTGTAAAAAAATATCAAACCGATTGGAAAGGAAATTATTTGTTGTGCTTTCCATTTGATAAATACTAATATATAATACAACTACTCAGAGTTTAGTAAATACTTTTGGAATATTTCATATGTTTTTGTATTTTGAATAATCGTCTCTCTGACTGATGTGCACTTTGGACATCTCTTTAAAAAACTAAATGTTCCGTAGTTTTTAAATAAAAGCAGTCAAGTCGAATAAGGGATATGAGAATACAGGACATCAGAGAGGTTCATCGCGTCTTCATGCCTGCGAGTGTGACCGTAGCTTCCTGTTGTTTCTTCAGAGGAGGGGAAGGAGAATTATAATAATAATAATCATGATTAACGTCAGCAGCTTCCTCAGATCAGCAGCAGCTTCATGTTAGTGAAGTTAATGTGAAACTTAAAAATCACCGTTGAATATGAAACCCCCAGAAACGTCAGGTTTAACGTGAGATTAAATGAAACACATAAACAGTCAGTTAAATGTGAAAGATTCAGTTAACCCTCGTGCCTCAATTATAAAAAAAGGACAAAACATTTCTTTATAAAACTGCCATGAAAATATTTTATAAAAATATGCTTCTCTTTTTAAAGAATTAAATCTGTTGATCTGTCCTGATCATAACGACCAAATATTAAACATTTCTAGAGTTTAACCTCTTTCAATGCCAGTTTATTTTAATAATGCCACTGTTGTTTTAAAGGCCTCCTCTCCTGCTCATCAGTATGTAGTGTCTCTACTTTAAAGAGTCCTCTCCTGCTGATGTTCAGGTGTATATCAGTATGTAGTGTCTCTACTTTAAAGAGTCCTCTCCTGCTGATGTTCAGGTGTATATCAGTATGTAGTGTCTCTACTTTAAAGAGTCCTCTCCTGCTGATGTTCAGGTGTATATCAGTATGTAGTGTCTCTACTTTAAAGAGTCCTCTCCTGCTGATGTTCAGGTGTATATCAGTATGTAGTGTCTCTACTTTAAAGAGTCCTCTCCTGCTGATGTTCAGGTGTATATCAGTATGTAGTGTCTCTACTTTAAAGAGTCCTCTCCTGCTGATGTTCAGGTGTATATCAGTATGTAGTGTCTCTACTTTAAAGAGTCCTCTCCTGCTGATGTTCAGGTGTATATCAGTATGTAGTGTCTCTACTTTAAAGAGTTCTCTCCTGCTGATGTTCAGGTGTATATCAGTATGTAGTGTCTCTACTTTAAAGAGTCCTCTCCTGCTGATGTTCAGGTGTATATCAGTATGTAGTGTCTCTACTTTAAAGAGTCCTCTCCTGCTGATGTTCAGGTGTATATCAGTATGTAGTGTCTCTACTTTAAAGAGTCCTCTCCTGCTGATGTTCAGGTGTATATCAGTATGTAGTGTCTCTTCTTTAAAGAGTCCTCTCCTGCTGATGTTCAGGTGTATATCAGTATGTAGTGTCTCTACTTTAAAGAGTCCTCTCCTGCTGATGTTCAGGTGTATATCAGTATGTAGTGTCTCTACTTTAAAGAGTCCTCTCCTGCTGATGTTCAGGTGTATATCAGTATGTAGTGTCTCTACTTTAAAGAGTCCTCTCCTGCTGATGTTCAGGTGTATATCAGTATGTAGTGTCTCTACATGTCTCTATGCTCCAATGTTCAAAAAGCTCTTTATTTTTCTCATACTCTCTGTGCTGCAGCACCTCTTTTCACCCTCTGTCTGAAACCAGAGCCCAGTCTGCTCTGATTGGTTAGCTGGCTGGCTCTGTTGTGATTGGTCAACCGCTTAGAGATGTCCCGCCCCTTAGCCTATCACATACAATGTGTTGGAGCGTTAGCCAATAGGAGCGTGAGTGTTCCAGAGTGATTACATTACTTGTTAGTCGCTTTTATCCAAAGTGACTTACATACTCAATACTGTGGTCAATCCCCACAGGAGCACTTTGGGGTGAAGTGTCTCAGGGACACAACGACATGCTGACTGCAGTGGGGTTTGAACCTGTGCTCCCCTGATCCCAACACCAACGCTCAATCCACTGCGCCACACGCCTCCTGAGTGTGTGGCGCAGTGGAGAGAGCGCTGGCTCTGTCTAGAGTGAAGTCACTATGTCCTGGAAGTAAAGGAAGGAGTCCAATGGAGGTGTTTCAGGTGGGGGGGGGGGGGGGACACAGGGACACTAACACCTATAGAGCACACTACAGGAGAGGGAACCCCTTTAAATAAATACTAAATGCTCGGAGGGTTTTTTCAAATTTGAATAAATAATAAATCTGATATAACAGAAAGCAGCATTTTACAAAATTGAGTTTATAATTGGAATCGATGGGGACATTTCTTACTCTCAATTATTATATTTAAATTAGTTTACAAGGACCAAATAAAAAACGTATTAACGAGGCAGAAGGGTTAGTGTGAGTTCTTTAACAGATCGATGAAGACAGAGTCCATGGCATGGAAAGAGAGAAACAGCAGAGAGGAGATCACACACACACCGGAGGGTTCACACAGTATGACTGCTATCTTCAAATATGTTACCTAATTTATGTTTTTTCTTCTTCTTCATATTTAAAAGAAGCCCTAGAACAATGATTCTCTGAAACATGACAGTGAGTAACTTCACAGAATATAAAGGATTACAAAATGTTTTTTTAATTAACAAATTTCATTCACAATCTCTGTCTTTTATTTAAAGGAATATTTAAACACTTCAGGCTGTAGGAGGTGAAGGTTGTTTCTCTGCAGTCAGCCAGGCTAGCAGTTTCCCACCGTTTCCAGTCTTTATGCTAAGCTAAGCTAACGTGCCCTTCTTCTAAGGAAACATTAGGTTTCTTTAACCCTTAGATGCCCGAGTGACTGGACCCTACTCTCTACCATAAGTGACCCGTATTAGAATAATGTGTTTTTATGCCATTGTTGTCATTTTGGTTAAGAAAAATCACAATTTTTTACTCATTATATTTTGGTTTTCACTATTTATAATTTTAGAAAAAAAAATTACATTTTGAAAAAACCCGTTTTGAACATATTGATGCAAAGATCTCTGCTATTCTGAGACCCTCACAGTATTCCAGTCCCTTTTCAAAACTCATCTCTTCTCCTCTCCTCATGTCTACTCATAGCCCACCCCCCATCAATCCATGCCGGTTGATCAAGTTTGATAGTCCTATACCCCCCACCCTAACCTTCCCTTATATTGTAAAGCGATTTTGAGTCCTTGAAAAGCCCTATAAAAATATAATGTATTATTATTATTATTATACTGACAGGTTTCAGATCTTGCTGTGTAAAATAATCTTCCTGAGAGGTGTCACTTGTGATGTCGTCTGTGTGGTCCACAGTGAATGTCTTCCTGACAGCAACAGGTGATAAGAATCAAAGGTTCCCATAGGATCCCATAGGAAATGCATGCAGGTCCTTTTTGACCCACTTATTGAAGCTTGGGGTAGAAATACAAAAACTACAATTTCTTAAAATTTAAAATTAAAATTAAAATGGCATGATATCCAAAACATGTTTTTTGAGGAATAGCTGGAATATGAAATGATAAAAAAATGTAATTACAAAGATACTTCAAGGAAACCACCTCACCGGGTCAAAAGATACCCACTTATGCATCTAAGGGTTAAAAGCAACAGAAACTTATTTTCAACCGTCTAACCCTAAAATAAATGAATGTATTCCTTCTTATTATTGTGTGTTTACTATTTCCTGTTTACATAATTTAGTGGACTGTCTACCACACGTTTATTTCTGTTTTCATTGTACATTTCTAATAGTTTTACACCTCATATTGTCATCATCCTGCCGTGTGATTCCCAGGTGTGTGTGTGATGTCAGAGTGTGTGAGCTGCTGCTGCTGACTCACAGGTATGGAGCGGCTCAGGTAGCGTCCTGCCGGC